TACATATTTTTCCCCATGCCATTCAATCATCTATCCCAGAGGAGAGGACGGTATGCTTTTAAAGGCAATGACGATACGGATAAAGTTGTCTTAACGCGAAATAAAGCGAGTCTTGGTAAATCATCAGTGATTCTGTCCTTATTTACTTACTACTATTCGCCCCGTATAAAACAAGTATGCCCAATAAACTAAACTATAATCCAATCCGATTAACCAAACCGACCGAGTCACTTTTACATTGTACAACTGTGCTTGGCAACACGAATCATGCATGACAATGGTGCTGGAGAAAAAGGAAAATCTAATGGAACAAGTGTCCTCTGCCTAAAGGAGAGGGTAAAAGGTCTAAAGATTGAGAAATAATTTAGAGCCACGTGCATAAAGAACATCGATACAGCATACCTACCTAAATATCTATGTACACATGTACGTATATCATCATGCAATATCTGCATGATGAACAACACTACCTCTACCACATAAATACATACATGTGCAAAACCAGCTAATGCAAATTCTGTTGAGATTGAGATGATCGGGTAAGTGTTATAATAATTATAACCAAAATGTCCAGTAGTTGCTGTTCATAATTATTTATTTAAGAACAATCGCTTTAAGAGGTATGCACATGCGTATAGCGTGTATGCAACCACGTATTTATCTCTATAAGAATAAGAAATGGCGCAAGTAATGAGAGGTTAGGACGACGAAGGATTAGAGAAAAAATGCATCCTTCCTAAAAACAAAACAAATTTAACCTTGGCCGTTCTTGTTGGTGATTCCTCATCTGCCTCATATTTTTTCTACGACAAAGTACAAAGTACAAAAACTAACCAACTTTCACAATCTTACTTACTGGTCAATTATTGGCAAATATGACAAAAATTTCACGCTATTTGAATTGTGCACCATTGTCATCGCCAAGAAAAGATAATGGGCATGCAGTAATTATTTACAGGCTCTACATCTTAACAGTTATAATGGCGTGCCATTTGTTTCTGAGCAGGTAATTAATTAGGCTGCAAAAACTAACTGTCACCAAAAAAAACAAGCCTATAATATTCTATAACTTTCCATTCGAGTACTTTTAAGAGCTTTGCATTTACTTAAAATCAAGGCTAGGATTTACATTCACACGCAAAAGAAACTAATATTTCGAAACACGTCGTATCGTTGTTTTATATTTCTGTAACCCGAACTGTTTTCATTATGCTTGACTGATACTTAATCATTTTCAGTGTACGTATTGTGCGTTCTCTGTGGTTAAAAGTGTACAAAATAAAATTCTTTTCGTAAATAAGTACCCCCACAACAACAACACGATTCATTTCGACACACATTATGCTTCTACCACGGTGCAATACTTGTTAAAGAAGTGTAATTGAGATGAAATGTTGGAGAAGGAACAAAATTGGTGAAGGAATGATGGCGATAATAATGATAAGACTCACTCAAACAAGTATAATGACTATACTCCACGGGATATCCGTCCAAGTAATAATAATCCTTGGTCGCAATTTGGCTTTGTTTTGCTTAATCCTTAAATAACGTCTTCGATCTCTTCCTTTTTTATAACACTGCAGCCCAGCATGCACTTGTTTCTTCTTCTTCCTTCTTACTGTACTTGCGTAGTGTCGTAATTAGTATTAATATTCAGCCTCACATCGAAGTTTGGAAGACCAAGAGAAGAGAAATTCCAAATTGATTAATAAAAAACAAGTGAGCAGGTATGTAGTAGATGACGACGTAATGTTGGAAATGAAGGCACTCGACTGTGAAAGGAGGACACGACGACAACGACAGCACAAAAATCCAAAGTAAAATTGTTGAGAATTACAAGTGTTGAAAGAATGTGCGTACTTTGGGTTTTACTTTGCTTTCTAATTTCCAATTCACAATTTGCACACAATCCCACACAATGGGAGAAACAACGGATAAAACAAACTTGGCTTCTTCTTCTCTTTATTCAATAATTCAAGAAATTTCTGATTTTTTTCGTATTCTTCTACTTTATTCCTTCCTTCGTTCGTATGCGTGTGTGTGTATGTCAATCCGATTGAAATGTGGTAGTAGTATTGACTACCAAAAGGCCGAACGAAATGCACCACTCTGAATACCCTCGAATAGAAACACGTTGTTTTAACCAGAGTTTGGTTTTACATACGTGTCTTATTGATTTTTATTTGCATGGGTCGATTCTTAATTTAGTTTGATTGTTTTTATTTAATTCAAAATTAAATCCTTTACGACTTTCATATGCAGAGTGAGGAACGAACAATGTATAGTTATGAAATTTGACCGAAAGAATTTGCAAACTATTCGCAAATTGCGAAAACTTGTCACTTTTTATTCGCAATATGAAGCCTACTTCAGCATATGCAGATTTCACTGGTGACAGTTTGTTATATATGTCAAATCGTCTTTAAAAAAGTTAAAGCAAACTTTGCTTTGCGCAAATTATGAAACACTTGTCAACAATTTATTCGACTCGAGGGAAACTATATTTATTAATTATTTATGTATTTATTTATCGACCCACCCACCACTTCACGATGGAACACACAAACAATCCAATACTGGGAAGAGAACAACGTCTTGCCCAAAATATCCGATAACTTGCACTACATGATATGCATGCATGGACATATGTAAAATACAATACGCAATAGTAGCGAATGTAATAATAATGGGAGTTAAATTGAATAAAAAACAGATCAATAAATTGATACGGGCGAGCTCAAGAATGATGATGATGGTTTGGTTGTGATACTATTACGAACAATACAATTATACTCTAGAGTAAGGGGCTGCTAACTATTAACTGAGCTGAAGGAGTTAAACGAGACGATAGAAACAAGGATTAAAGGACGACGATGATGAGAATGAGGAGAATGTGTGTGTGTAGTAGGACTCTGAGAGAGAGTACAGATTTCAACTGAAGTTGGTGAACTGAGAAACCAGCCAAACCAGTCGAAGAGCACGTTAACCCTTCCCTTAATCCAATATTTAAATCAAATCTCTATCCATTATGTTATTCTGCTATGGAGAGAGAGAGACCCAACCAGATTCTTCCACCCCTCATAACACCACCAACCAGCTAAATACACCAGCAGTCTCAGCAGTGAAGAGACTTTAAGCAACAAACCACTATTGCTAAAAGGATGATGCCTTGCATACGTTACGTACATCTACGTAAGCCAGAGTTGCTCTCCGTAACATAACTCCGCTAACTTTTAACATACTTCAAACTCAACCCTATTTAACTGACGATGAGATTCTTCTTACCCATGCATCCACAAGGCAAAGAGGAGAGGATAACATAACAAAGTTCACTTTTTAACTTGCTTACTTATTCGTCTTGCTATACATACAGACTGCATTGCATGAAGGAAGACAGTTACGTGTAAAGACACAAACTCAACAACTGTAAACCATCCCAGAAGAGCAATATGCAATGCATACGACAAATGAAACTCACACGAGAAGAGATATATCCTCTTCTGGTGAGACTTTTAGTAGTATCAAAATCTCATTCGCTTCTTGGATACAGAATGAAAACAGGATTCAACTTTTTACAGGGATTTATCAAAATTTCTGATATGTACATACCTGAAGCAAATCGTGCGGAAGAAGTTTCGTGCTTTTCTGCATTGTTTCTTACGTAAACTTTGAGTATTGTATGTATCCCCACATAACAATAAGCACCACGATACGAGTAGCAATGCAGCAACAAGTGGAACCCTTCTCTTGACATCTCTCATGGGGTTGTTTATGTTTCTTGAATGCATGCATATAACTTCATACATTGCTCGATCTGACCACAAAACCATAGCCTGCACACTTATCCCAATAACAACATATACCCTTTAAAACTTTTATCGCATCTCGGCTGCCAGTTCTCCATGTGTACCTAATATGTAAGCCTCATGAAAAAATTGAATCCTCAACACATTGACGGGGAGAAAAGGAGTGAGATTGACCATTGACTTTTCTAACGTCTGCTGCTTAAAAGCTGGTCTTATGGTCATTGAAGAAGAACCAGCAGAAGAAGACTTCTACGTAACTTTACCATCCATCCCTCATTCTTCTTCTCATTGGTGTTCTTCTGCCATGCTTAAATCTACGGGGACAGACGATGATGATAAAACACAAAGATTTTTCTTCTCGCAACATGACCACCATCGGACGGACGGATGGATGCCCAGTGGAATGAGAGATTAAAGCTCTCTCCTTCTGAACGGTTCTTGCAATTTGAGAGAGAGGATGACATATTATCCCACAAGCTATGCAATCCTGATGATGCTGATGTACATATATTCCCATCATCATCTCATCCCTACCGCCAACAACACTCAAATGAATTAACTGGATGCTAGTTTTTAAATGGTGGGTGGACACTCCTAGTTTCCATTCGACTCATCTCTTCTTCATCCATCCATCCATGTTACAAATGTACGTATGTACATGTAGTTAACGAATAAGTGCTATCATGCAGCTCGAGCCAGACATCCTCAATTCCTGTATATATTCTTAATCGTGAAAGACCTGAAAAATGAAATGAAAGGCCGACTGGTATATTATTCACGAGGCATAAAAGTCAAGCCAGCTAGTAGATGACCCTCCATCTTATATTTCTCACCAGCATTGTATATAAGTAGGCAACTAGGCATAAAAAATCTCTCAAGTTTTGCACACATAGAAGTTTGCCCAGTTTTTAGTATTAAATTTTCTGTATTCACTTTTAGGTACATGTGTAAGTATTCGGAAAAGGGAAGACATGTTTTATTACGCAAAAGTTCCAAAGATGAACCAAAGGTTAAGCAACACTTGAAGACGTTTGGCAGAATTTTATGTTTAAGTAAGGCTGGCCAGGTTGCACTACTAATTCTCACAAGACGGCCCCATACTAAAGTAATTTATCTTTGTCGCTGTGCAAACCATGGAGAGAGAGAAAGAACATTATTACATGTAGTGGTTTATCCAGTTTCCAGAACTTTTTACATTCTTGTACTTCTCGTTCTTCTCCAGGTTCTCGGGAGTCGCATGCAAATGAAAACATTGTTCGTTACAGAAGACCAGACTTTTATGCGCTATACAACACATTGTAATTAATGTGGTGACCTGCAGGTCATTCCCACTGGACTGGACTCTAATAATGTAATGGTAGATCGTATCAATCTTTCTTCTTACGTAAACTGGTGGATAAATCTATGACAAAAGTGAATGCAACTACGTCTGTCTGTATGTATGTAAGTAATATAAGTTCAACAACACAATGCCACACAATTTGCATATAAACATTTTTCCGACATCTGCACGTCCTAATAATTGGTCGTTATATTATACCCACTACTAAATAAAAAAGTACAACCTCCTCACCTGCAATGAAATGAAGTAAACAGCTCAGTCAATAACCGGTACCTCACTAATACCTCTTCTTCTAATCAAATCAGGCCCATCACTCAGGTAGGTTGCCCGAATCTTTACAAAATCTCTCCATTCTCTCTCCAGAAAAGCCAGACCTCATAATTTGTCTGATTCTAGCCAACATGCACCACTACTTTACACACGTATGTACAAGACAATCTTACTATTTATCAACTAGCTATCTAGTTATAATAGCTTTAGAATTGCGAGTATTTTTCCGTTCGCAAAAGGGTTAACACACTAACACGACCTCGCATTTATTCTTCTCATACCATTACGTATGCCATAAAAAGTTGAAGATGTGCATGTGTTGTGTGCACCTGTGCTCGTCTGGTTAAACCCATTGTGTGACTTTAACAAAATATTTGAAAATTTTGTAAGAAACTTCAAGTTACCTGTCCAAAGAATATAATAAATAATAATAGTTTACACAAAAATTACTGACTGACTTGGCTGGGGGAAAAAGTGTGCTATAATTTACTCTGATTCTCATATTAAGGATTGAGGGGAGACGTATGTTATTATTATTATATGGCCCTTCATTGTCATCATCTTACTTTTCTGAGAGCAGAGGCAGGCAAATACAATTTCTTTGTGCATGTGGGTAAACTCGGTTCGCACTTTAATTCAACGTTCACCGTGAACTTTAACTGATTTGCTTTCCCTTTCCACTAGGAAATTGCCTAGTTTATTAGGTGACATATTTTGACCTTGTCCTTTAGATTAAAATAAATCAATAAACCCATTAGGAGGAAGATAATTGGAATAATATTCAAACATTTGAGAGAAATGTCATTCCGCTTGAAATATTCGCTACATGCGATAAAATGCTGAATGAATTAAAATTAGTCCGTCTCCTAAATACGATCTGTGCAGTGGCTGAAATAGAATTCGAATTTATTTCGTGACCCAAATTAAAACCTATTATTGATTGATTGATTGCCTAAAACCAAATTAGAAGGGTCTCTGCCTGCAGTTTAACACTTGCCTCAAGCTCTGCTCTACATTCAGCATTCATACATAAATACCATGCTGGTTGGTGGTTGATGCTGTGATGCGATGCGACGCTACCCTAAATTTCGACACAAATAGCTGACTTCATGACATGATTTGCCAAACCGGGCGGAATATGAAGTAAACAAATTACCAAATATTACATCCCACCAGCAGCAAAGCAGCAGCAGTGGAGGAAGGATGGATTCTAAATATATGTATGTATGAAATCTGCATTGAAAAGAGTGCACTATTATTTGTGGACTACAATGGAAGAAATAGTGTGTCACCTCTCCTCATAAACAGAGAAAAACATTGATGCGCATCACTCAACAACATGGCGTAAATTTGAAATGAAATTTATTTTAATGTCATTCTTTAGATTCTGTGCTATTTTTAATTTACATAATTTTAAAAAGAAATGTGTACATCTCTTTCCTGGTTCACTTACTTGGAGGAGCATCGTCTTTTCTTAATGGAGGAAGAGGAAGGCTGTACTGTACATAGCACACTTTACTTTACTCCATTCAGGTGGTGAAAATATGAATCAAGTTGCACTTAATAACGTGGCACCAGAGAAGGAAAGCCACTTAAATCTCAGTTTTACAACCGTGCTGATGAGTGCATTTCTCACATCGCATCGCAGCAAGATATTTGCAGCACAGCTACGCAGTTGCTTGATTCTGAAATACAAGTGGATGCCAAAAGTATTATATGTTAAAGTATGAAATGAATGGGATACAATTGTGAATTGGGCTGCACCGTTAGTTTTTATTTTACTGATTCCAATCACCACCACGATAGCTAGGGTTGTACGATTCCCATTTGTTGCGAATAAACTCCCGTACTTTTCCTCCCTCCCAATATCCGCAATAATTTCATTTCGTACCTTATACATATTCCTTAACAGTTAAATTCCCGGAATTTTGGGAAGTCTAAGGGAATTGCCTTAAATTTGCTAAAATTCAAAAATGCCAAAAATTGGAACAGGGAACGCTACAACTCTAACCATCACACCGACTTATTTAACCACCAGCATCATCATCCTTCTCCTCCTCCTCTCTTAACCACCGCACCAAAAGCTATTAACCAGGTCCCCTTAACATTTACCAACTGAGAGTTCACTATATTCCGCTGCTTACTATTCACGAGACGAATTCAAATAACTGCACATCAACTACCTACCGTTTACGTTCATGTCGCACATGAAGAAGTATTATATTATCCATCCCCAAAGTATCACCTGCCTATCTATGCATCTCTCTAATGCCTTCCTTATTTACCACGTGATGAATTACTATTGAACGCTGTTTTACTGTTTATTAGTGGTGCCAGTGCCAGAGGCGGATTTCAAATGGTTTGCCCAAATCTACTACACTTTTGGCACATCATATCTGGATACCACAACAATTGTAACTTAAATTTTGTGGCCCACATAGAGAAATTCCTTTGTCGTGTCACACTATAATACATATCTATGTACGCATTAGAAAACCAAATTCACTCCAACCCAATTTTAAACGTACTTTTTATTTTAAAAGTCCACACAACTGCATATTTTATTTTTTATGTAATGTAACGTGTATGCATGAAGGAGAGCGGCGTACAGTCCTGTTTAATTAATGAAGTTAACTGACTCCTTCGTCTTTCTTATAGCTATAAAATATTAATTGAAATACCAGACACGACTAGTCAACCGTAAAATTTCAAACATTTTAATTCGTGACATTATATACCTATCTCACCCGGTTTTAAATAAGTGTAATGTGTTTGTATGTAAATGTGTTTAGAAAAAAACAGAATCCCGATCATTCAAAAGCAATGTGGTTTTGTTTCTGGTGTTTGTTGTATGAAATTCATACGCGCAAAAGAAACTCAGAGACAAGGCAACCTTTCTCGTGGTTCTTATGATGACTTCAACTTCTGGTTTTGAATTTAAATTGCATACTTCACTTGCAGTCGGTGCACTTATAGAGTACAGCACACAGCAAGCAGAGACATATTCATAAATCAGCCCTGTCCAAAATAAATGTAACTGTGACAGATTGCCAGATGTATGGACATCACGTGAAAGATCATGAAATGAACATAACTCAATTTTTGTTCCAACAAAACACAACTTGAGCGTTTTAGTGACGCTAAACAAAAACAGGAATCAAGAAGAATGTTAATCGTTTTTATTAAGCGTTACCGAAAAACTGTATGCACAATGATTCGGTTTAATCCAATTAAACATTTTGCAGGGTTGGGAAAAAATATTTACCTCGGAAAAGTTTAAAAGATACGAGTGTATGTAATTTATCAAAAGAATTGGAGCACTTATGCCCCATCGGTTAGGGGTGATCCATAAATTATGTCACGCAAAAAAGCTAATTATTAAGACCCCCCCTCCCCTGTTGTCACGTCTTTGTCACGCTCGTTGTGACCCCTCCCCCCATCTTGTCACGTCACGCCTGAAAATCTGAATTTTTCCGATAGCAAGAATTTCAAATAATTTGTAAAAATAAAAAAACCACTAAATTTTTCAGTTTTCTTGTGTTATTGCTACACATTTTTTAATTATTAACATTTTTGAATCATGCAGTTGTCTCCAATCCCTACACAGTTTTGAAACTACGAAAAATAAGGTTCTTTCGGACGAATTTTTAAATTGTGCAAATTTTTGGAGATTTAGTAATGTTTTTTTTAATTGTTGCATGCACTTTTGCAAAATTATGACGATTTTTTGAACTTATGCAAACTTTATGGCATCATGAATTTTTAATTTTTTTTAACTTACAAACAATTTTGAAAATTATTTGAAGATTTGACAAAATTTAAAAACTCGGTTGAAAATCTCAAAATCCAAAACTTGGTTGAAATTTTGGATTTTTTGGATCAAAGGTTTCATATATTGGGATGGACATATATTTCTAAATAATTGCGAAACTAGTTTGGTCCTAGTCGAAGAATTAAAATGAGTTAAAGTTTGCATTAAGTCAGACCTGGGAAACGTGATGTCACGGACCGGCCGAACCCCCCTCCCCATATGTCACATTTTGTCACGGAAGCTTGGAACCCCTCCCCCCCATCTTCAGCGTGACATAATTTATGGACCACCCCTTATTGAAACCTTGCCTAATTTGACTTGCTTGTGTGATTTTGTGATAAATGTATTTACAGGAATTGTTATTCACCGTGTTATTAGAGACGTTGAGCGAGAGTACATGATTGTACTTTGCGATTGTAAACCCAGCGGGAAAATCAAATATTAGTCAGAATTTTAGTCAAACACAAAAATACAAATCTCCGTCTCCAACCAGCATTGTATTGTATGCGTTTCTAAACAGTCATCCAAAAATCACTGTTTTCCGAAAAAAATAATAAGTGAAAAAAATTGGTCAAAATATTTCTCATTGCTCTCTTTATATTTGAGTTGTAACGATTCATTGGAAGTGCAGAATATGGAACAATTACTTGCAGAGGTACTTGCAAATGGTTATTTATTTAATTCAACCCTATTTAAATATTCAATTATTAAATCGTTAGCAGGAAGAAGAGCGAAGAGTTTTAACCGGGTCCGGAATTGAAGAAGAGGTTTGCGAAATAGTGCGGCTCTTAAACGACCTAATGTCCTTAATTGATGATCAGAAGCTATTGGAAAAAGGTCACACAGAAGCAAAACAGAAAAAACTTGACGATAGTAAATTAAAGGCTGAAGAGATACGTGTTGCTGCTTGTACAACGATTAAGAGAAGTGGTAATGCTAATTTAATTTGTATTGGTGTTCTGTATTGTTCAAATGAATTATGCTGGATAGTAGGTGACATTTTTAACCTTGATTGCTAGGTTCGAGCCCCGAAAATCCTGGCCCTATTCCAAAGAAGCGTCCAACTGACTCTACTCTAATCGATTTGTGGAAAGAGAAACAGGAATCAGAACGCCAGCAAGAAATGAAAAGACTTGATGTCGAACAGCAACGTTATGACGCCGAGCGCGCTGAAAAAGTGGCCGACAGAGATCTAGAGAAGAAAAAATTAGACCTTCAACAGCAGCAATTCGAGTTGGAGAGGGACCGTTTTAATCATCAACGGGACAAAGATAAAGAAGAGTTTAAATTGCGAGAAAAAGAATTAATCCTTCGAGAGGAAGAACGCAAGAGTCAGATGGCAACTCAGACAGCCCTATTAAATTGCTGATGAAAAAAAATGTGAAATATAGCATTTTAAATAGCTTACATGCAATAAACTGATTTATTTCCATTCATTTCTAAAACATGTTTGTGATTAGTTTAGATTTTGATTTCTCCAATATTCCTCGAGTGTCGGAGGCTTAACCCCAAAATACTTCGATGTTTGACATTCATATAAACAATTTTGGCAATTCTTTAAAATGGTAGCTACAAAATAATATTTTGACACTGGTTGAAGAAATATTTTTAAGTTCTTTTTAAAATCAATAAATGCAAACTGTTTATCTGTCTCACCAAACTCCCATTCTACACAAACCCGCAATTTGCTCATCGTTAAGTTAAATAACTTTTGCTGGTCTGAAAGTTGGTTTCCAATATGTGGAGTGATTAAGCTTCTGTGGAGTGGATATCCACTGTCGCCATACAAGTACATTTCTTGACCACCCAAATGAACTGCTAATTTGTCAAGTAACCCACTTTCATGTAGCATGTATGAGTCATGCCTTCGCCCCGGGATAGGTCCGTATAAATTTGCAACCATTCCATTTGGAGTCACTACCGATTGATATTTCAGTCCGTGCGACCGTTTATGACCGCTATAAACTTCTTGTTGGGATCGAGTGGGCCGACAAGTTTTGTGCAAGGTTCCTGGCAAATTAAATGCAGATCTTGTAAACATGTTAAATGTAAAATTTCATAATTCTGTTATTTGCCATAATTTACCATCTATAAACCCAATACAAGATGGAATTGGACACCCTTTCCTGACCAAAGCTCCCGAAAACTCTTTAAGATGTTCAAGAGATAACCACCATAACTGGAGAGATGTCAGAAGATGATAAAAATTGCCATAAACATGATTAATCATTGAGTTAAAAATGTAGGACAAATCTTGAGGCGAAAATCCTTAGTACTTTTGTAGATCTGAGAGTCGATTAGGATAAGCAAGGCGTCGTAGCATAACACACAAGCCTGAAATATATGGAAAGGACCCATAAAATTATTATCAATTACAAGTGTAATTATTATGTCAGGAAAGCTCACAAATTAGTCCGCTGAATTCTGTCCTATTAGGCATTTTTAACACATCTGGAACCCGTAACTCTGATTTCAATCGCAAAATGTCCGCTTTTTCAAATCTAAAATCCAACTTGAAACGAGAAACCTCGATTTCATCAAAACAGAAAAGTGTAGATTTGTTAAATTTGTTAATCCGCTTTGCTGCAGCAGCCAACAAAAAGGCATCACAATCACCAGTGAGCACACCCAATTTAATTAAACTTGAACTTAAGGTGGACATTTTACTGTCTGTCACTTTTGGACTTGTAAACAATTGTTTATAATTTCAAATCTGCCGGCAGAAATTAATCAGAACTACAATCCTCCCATAAAATATTCTCGCTCAACCTCCGAAAGGTACAATCCAGGATTTTGATTGTGATTCTAAACTACAGTGAATTTTTTACCATCATGTACTCTCGCTCAACGTCTCTAATTGACTAACCAATCGAATATTGGCAATAAAACTTGTTATTTTTATAGACCCACAATTTGAAGTTAAACAAAACTAATAAACTTGAGGCAAAATTGTATCAACATTTGGACGATAAACTAATCTACATAGGTCCACACCCTCAAGTTAGTTAAACTTGTAGAACGATTTAGTAATATCAATATCAATATCTGTCTGTATGTATTTCTAATTAAATGGTACAAGTTTTCAATCCAAAATTATAATGTCAAAATAAAACCTGTTAATATTCTTCTTGCCAAATACCTTAATATTCATATCCATCCCAGTTCATTGATAAAACAACCCAGTTTTGAGAACAGCATGAATTTTACATGTATAAATATTTATGTATGTACAGATTTTCCATTCATCTCGAATGAGCCGACCTTTGGTTATTCAATTTGACTGTCCTCTGACGTAAGAAGTTAATTGATACAAATAACGATTGGTATCGACATCCTGAAGATTCATAATGTTTTGCTTCATTCATTTCCTCGAAATATTTTGATTCATACAAATTCCAATAATAATAATAATAATAAAGAATCAGACAACCCACGCCACGATACATACAAACATTCATGTATGTCTTAAGTTAAATGACCTGAAGACTGGATGAGCTGAGTTACTGGTCATCAATCAAAATCCATCAAAAAACTCCATTAATCACACATTTGGCAAAAAATCCAAGTAATTTCAGTTTGTTGAAAAGTTGGAGAAAATAGAGGAACATTATCCTCTCATTACAAATTACTTTAGCTTTCGACAAATTGGTACGAAAATCATAACGTTGATTTTGTAAAGACCATAAATTTCATAGATTAAAGAAATGATCTCTGATAACAAAGTGATAAAGTTTCCAAGAAATTCAGCCAACGACACTTTTCACATAAAGTTATTTTAAGACATTTGATTAACCATAAAGTAAGTGGGAAACCTTCTCTCATAAGTTTAAGTACGTGTACAAAAACGAGGTATTAAATTATTACGGGTTACTTGGCTGGATGGAAATCCCAATTTATTATTATTACACGTGCTGGACGAATGAGAGCGAAGGAGGGAGACGACACTTTTGTGAATTATCTTACGTATAAGAGCATAACGACAAGATGGGAGAGCCCAACAAATTGGAATGAATGCTATCATCATTAGATTGTCAATAATTTAGACTATATTAAACTCAATTTTCTCAGATCTTGTTTTTTTCACCTTTGCCCTCTCTCTCTCCTCTTCTCTCTTTCAATTTCTCTGATTGACCCATAAGCAGCACAGGCAAGGAAAATTAGAGACAAGTGCCATCATTAACTTTATGACTTATAAATAGACCTCAAACATCAATGACACCCACCACCATCACCAAACTATCAGAGTTTCATAGTATCAAATTAACCAACTAACTACCAACTTCAAAGGTATACAGAGAAAGAGCCCAAATTGATAATTTAAACCAATTTCAATTACATCGATTATTTATCCGCTTTCCATTCATTTTTAGGATTCAAACGGAAAATCATGCAGATTCGGAGAGCTAATTCGGAAGTCAATTTGCCATTCCGATTTTGTACACAACTTGTCATTCTTAGCTTTCGAGGTTACGTATGTATCCTCCTCTGCTGTCAACTACATGAAACGAAATGCCAAAAACATGCTCACACTAGCTGTGCCAGTGATGTGTGGGATATCTCCCTGTAAATAATTCTGATCTCTTATACATACATCCTTCCTGTCCACATAATTTTCGTATTGGTCAGCAATAATAGTATACATACATACATTGATCATGCCGTTAAAAAAATCTGTATGGCAGAAAAGTCTAAAAAATCTTGCTGGATGGCAACTCTTCTCTTATCCGAACGCGATTCGACCTAGCAACTGCATACCCGTCATATTCGTCGGTCGCTCGGATGGTGAGTTAGCAAAAGTCGAAGATGCCACTCAACACTTTTTCTGACACATTAGGAACGATGTTGCTGCACTTATCAACAAGTGAATATGTATAAAATGGATATGATTTCATGCCCTCGACTACTTAAACTTTTGTAAAAATGATTCCAAGAAGAAGTTATATCGATATGAATTTATTCAAGATGTACTAAAAATTTCTTACATTCCTGAGATACCAACAACAGCATAAATCTAATAATGAAATGAGTGTGTGCATGTATGTATTTGTTGTTAATAAACATTCAAACCAAACTACAAGGGCAAGTTAATGAAGAACATTAAGTGCCCACTAGAACCAACGAAAAACATGTTTTGATTTGATTAACTTTAACTGCAACGAATCAAGCTATGCATCATGTAGTGTCCAGCAGGAGGATTTACTTACCAGACTGCATTGTAACAACAAAAACAAATAGTAATGAAAAATATTTATAAGCTCTCCTCCTCCCTCTTGTTGCGAAAACATGAGTGCGTATGTACACACATAATATTACTTGTATATATGCTTGATGATAATACATACTCGTAGATATACGAGACAAAAATCGTCGACACTTTTTCGGCGGTGCACATGACGCCTTGTAAATTTTTCGACAACGCTTTTGCTCAGCAATAATCTTTACAAATCTAAATATGACGCTACAAGTAAAGGTTCACCTCTAAAACAATTGTCATTTTAGAACGACCCCAGCATGCAGTCAACTTCTTATCTGGCACAACTTCTGGTGATAGAATCAGCACTTTCAAATATAAACATATCTCACGTGCAGGAGATTTCATCAGTTTTTGGTAGGTAGCTAAAGTAAAGTTTTGATATCTGAATGCAAAAATGTCCTATATCTCTCGCACTCTCTCTCCGAGAGAGCATTCAATTTTAAGCTTTATACCAGTTTATCTTTCCACAATCAGAAAGGTGAGAAACTACATTTTTAACACAATGCACAAAAGCAATTGAGGATAAAGCACACTCCAACAGTGACAATGAGGATTCATCTGTTTCGAGATAGCAATGAGAAATAATTCGCCACACAAGACGAGATTTTGTGTAACTACATAAATAGATTCTGACCAGCAGGAGGATGTTGTGTATAGGGACCGTCCATAAATTACGTAACGCAAAAATCGCGATTTTCTAGACCCCCCCTCCCCCCCTTTAACATGTGTAACATAGGCACGATATCATTGGAGCCTTAGACCCCCCCTCCCCCCCTCTTGCGTTACGTAATTTATGGACGGCCCCATAAACCTCTCTTTGCAGTTTATTCCAACGATAACATCACGACTATTGCAATATTCTATAAATCGCAAACTGCATTCATATATAGCATTTATCTGTAAAATTGTTTGCCCATTAAACATTTAGAGATTGCTGATTTAATTTGATTCAATCAGATTTCTTTGCTGCCCTTATATTGTCATTTAGCCAAATTTTAGGATAAATGATAAATTGAGAAGAAAACACATCATGCAAGGTTCTGTATTGTGAATATTATGTAGGTATTATGTATCATGAGATAAATACATAAACGCGACATGGATGAATTGGGTATTGTTGCCGTTGGGTAGTTAATAATAAAATCCGAATTCAGTATTGCCCATTAAATATATACAAACATACATGCATATATATACTTACATCCACCTGTTGCATCTAATCCCACCTTATACGGTGGGTTATAAGGTGCATACTCATACTGGTATAAGCACCTTATGCAGAAGCCTTAATCATCAACCTGCCCCATGTCACGCGAATTACACCATCCATATAAATAGCAGTAATGAAATTGACTGCGGTCCGCAGAAGAGATAAAATTAATAAAGCTAATAAACCTTATTATTCATTATGGATTTATTACTTATTCATAAACAACAACAATAGTTCCCGTGTTGGTAAGTACAAAAGTAAAATAGACAATTCCAAATTCTAGTAAAATCTCAACCAGACTTGATACACGAAATAACCAAAGAATGAACAGTGTGGTCTTCTGGTCTGGATGGATGTACGAATGGTAATGTATACTGTGTGGCGTTGCGGTTATATTGTGGCGATGCTGATAATGAAGGTGGTTGGTGTGTGCGGTGATGGTCGTAAAGAAGTCAATGATCGTTTTATGCACCGTCTTAATGAAGGCCGTTCTAAGTTCACTTTATTCCATGATACATACTTTTGCACTGTAAATTTCTGGTCCATCGTCTCGCCAGTCTTTCTGTTCCATTTCTTCTGCACGTAATAATAATAATATATGGCAAAATTGACTATCTCATTCAGAAAAACTAAAGTTGTAGATCATGGAAGATATACATAAATTGCACCAAAACAACATTAAAATGATGATAAACATAAAATATTTACTAGGAATTTCTAAAACATCCAATCGAAAAATGATTTACAATTCGCACTATCCGATTCTGACACTCACTTTGATGATTCTACCTCCTGTTACACGAATTAATATGAAATGTTAAAGGCATGGGATTTAAAATGTGTACGTATGTACGAATGACGGATGGGAAAAATAAATACACTGGTTCGCTACACAATTCACATGCTTTAAGGCATAAGAAGACCCGTGGTGTGGTTGGTGGACTCTTGACCACCATAATTTCACAGTATGCCAAACAACAGTACACAATTTGCACTGGCATAATGTTTTTGACAACAATTAACATAAAAATGATGAAAATCATCAGAAAGATTACGGCCGTCTAACCATCCTAGTAGATAACTTGGCTTGATAGAAATAAACTCTCGTGAACTTTACAACAACATTCAATCCTTTTGATATACTGCCTGTGAGCACTCGCATAATGCAGCTTGACCATTTGCCAATTTAGTTGGTTCCCAGAAAGAAGAAAACCAGTGACTAAAGAAAATTCTTAGCAGGAGGGTTTAAGCTAAATTTAATGTCTCATAGACTATGCATACAACGGCATCATCATTTGCATAACTTCTCAATGTGTGGGTGACTTGATCATCATTTGTATTGACATTTGTATTTGTACGGTTTTATAAGAACAATTTTGAAATACTTATTCATAATACTGTGCAAGTGTGCATGAAAATGGTGCCTTGTACACATCCTAGTATTGCTGCATTTTCACGGAATCCAATGGCGGTCAAAATGTTGAGTTTGAAAATAGAATGTCTCTCCTCTGGTCAGTAGAACTACGAAGACTATCCAAGATAAGGTTGCTGAATTGAAGAAATTGATTTAGAAATATGTAACACCCCAATGAAAATTTTCTGTAGTTGACTTGTCGTTGCAAATAAATGGTTACACATTTACCATTAAATGCGTTGAAGTATTTACCGTTGTTTTCGATTCTTTTTATTCATGCGCTATATATTTAGTAGGTGGTCTGGTCTCTGGACTGATCAGAGCGTAATTCACAATTAGCCATGTCCGAAAAAAACGACTACACCTCCTGTCGCTTGCAGTCAATTGATCGTTGTTGCCATTGAATTGAATTGGCAACACGATTTGTAAATTTCAAACCAACCCATCCTCAATTCTGAGAAGTCATCCATTTTCCTCCTGTCGATATATCTAAACTGCCAAGGGTTAGGAAACTCAAATATTAAAAGGAAGTAGTTGTGCCCCATGCGTGTTCTTGAAATTTAGCGTTGACAAGCGAAAAATATATCACAATAATCGCCCTATTTAAAAAAATCTGCATATATTTACCTCACTCACCAAACAACACTCTTTCACAACCCTGCCCAATTCATGAACCGTTTTGATTCTGAAATATGGTGATGGCGTGCAATGTCATGTGTCGCATTTTCATGTCGTGTCACTTGTTTCAAGCCAGAAAAGAGGAAAATTCTGAAAATAATTTGTAATCTACAATTGTATGTCGTGTAATAACTCTGACTTTTACAGGATCAAGCGAGCAACTTTCTTTTTCATTATTTTTATTCCCCCCTAAACACAAGTCAGTAGAATAAGTTAAACACGCAATCTCAATCTCGACAGAGAATTCAACTTTAATCTGAGATAATCTTTAGATTCAACAACCCCATAAGGGAGGGAAACATGCATTAAATTAAATGTAGGCAAAAGAATTGTTCACGAGTTAATGGACTACATATCTTTTGGACAGAAATGCTCACGGCTATGTATGCACATCCATCTTGGCTGAAGACTTCTACTACTCTACTACTACTTCCGTTTCAAAATGATAAGAAAGCGACAATAAGATTTGCTTTGCTACATTTACAATAAATCTTAAAACTATTCTTCTTCATTCAACTCTACCCTAAATTATATATGACAGAAACGTCAGTCACCACCACTACCACTGACTACTCTTGATGAGAAACATAATATTGAGCCTTTTTTCGAATAGAGGTGGAGATTTAGTTTCTAAAAAAAAGTTGGGTCCAATGTTAGTACTTGCAACAAGAACTTTCTCATGAGCAAAAAATGTGACACAATGTTGCACTTTTTGACTGCAGCATAGATAATTTAAGCAAGTGAAGTGAAGTGGTTTCATGTAATTACCATAGACATTCTTCTCACAATCATCATCATCATCATCACCATTCCCAATAATAAATTAGGAGAGCAATTTAAAAATCTGTGAAAAATTAAACTTATAGCGCAAAGTTCGCATGTAATCAGGTGCATTATGCTACTCTCTTTTGAACACGTAATTTGCCAGCAATTTGAAACAAGTTTAATTGCAAAATAAACAGATAATCCTAATCCGCACGATTTTGATAAGACGAGGAGAACCATAAAAAAGTCTGAGAACGCATGGCTAGACGAAATTGTCACACTCTTTTAAACTACACCTTTTCTCATATATTTGATTCTTCGCCGCAATGCGAAATGATTATTATTCTTACATATTACAAATTATTCTGACCTCTAACCTACTACAACTAGTTTTGTATGAAGTGGTTCATACCATGTTGCAGGTTATTGCTTTGTTGTTGTTCGCAAAGATACCGACATATCTAATTGGCCTATCTGACTGAATTGTATTTTTCGTAACGAGTTATTACAAAAGGATGTTTACATAAATGAAAACTATGCAATGGTATTGGGATTGGAAATATTTATTGGAAATCTAGTTTGCAAGCGGAAAATTTCAACCATAATCAACTTGGACAGTTTAGTAATTTGTAGTTGTGCTATCTTAAGTAAACGTAGAGATAAGTAAATGAAGAGTTATTAGCCTCACTCTACACCACTCCATCCACACAGATAAAAAAATCAGGACATTTTAAATTTCAATACTGGTGATGCTGGTTTTAAATATTGAATCTATAATTGTCCCGTTTTTATAACAAACTCGTCGTCGTGATGCATCAATCACTATCAACTGCAACAAGCTAGAGTATGCATATGATATACCTTCTTCGTCAAATCAAGTTGCGTTGGCCGGTTGTAAATAAACATTACAAAGTCATCCACCCAGCAAAACGTGTTAAAAAGTAAGTTCCATGACACTGTTCAGGGGAGCATGACCATGACGGAGATTTTATTCTTCAACTAAAACCACCACCACCGCCAGCGCAGTATTATCATACAATGGTCAACAATAAAGATCAAAATCAACCCTGTCCCTGCCCATCCTCACCAGTGCAATATCTCTCTTGTTCGCATCCTACCTCATCCCATGGAAGGTTACATAGTACTCCATCAAATCCTCGATTCCAATGCAGACACAATTGGATATAGAAAAGTATGCAGGAGCCAAATGCACCAGGGCCAGAATTGCACGGGCGAATCTTTCCATTTAATCTCTCTCTTCTCTTAATTTATCAAGTTCAACAACATTTGCCATCTGAGTGAAACAAATTTGCACTGGTTTGCAAAAATCCAGGGCGTACTCTTCTTTACTTTGGTTGTGGCGATGATATATATCTGCAGTAAATGCACATAATTGCTGGCACAAACCCTAGTGCATTGAATTGTGTTGCATTTTCTATCAGAAATCTCCATCAAGAGCTTCCCTTCACTTTAGCATAATTTACAAATGCAATCACTGCAACTTTCTATCCTCTCCTCCTCTCAAAGGAAACGGAATGCATTTATTCTGATTCAGAGAATTATTCATAGTACCTGCATGACGGTATAATAAAAGGTTGAAATGAATAATGGCTGGCAATCGCTGTTGCATTGCATTGCATTTCCAATTTTGTCATTCAGAAATGGGAAGCCATTTAATTATTCTGATGGGGTTTTTCCCCTGTCACAAAAGTCTCGACTTTGATTGATATTACATAACACTTGACTTTTCGAGTCATTTGCAAATACTCGTAAAAATTATTTCACATCCAATTCAAGGTGATGTCTTTTCTAAGAAGTGCTTGTTTGTGTTCAAGTAATTTTTCGTGGCACGTTTTTTTCAATATCATAAAAATTCCAACGACGTGCTGACATTCAACCGCAAATAAAAATGATAGCAAGTTCCACTCCACTAACAATCCTGCCAATACCACAAATAAGACGTACTAGAAATGAATGACAACGGACGGCTGACCTAATTTTTACATGAATAACTTTAAACTAAAAATAAAGCACTTCTTATACGTACCTCATTCTTCAGTGCCACTAACTAACGAAGCTCAAGAAACCCATTCATTTACATATCTCCGATTATTAATTAATTTTAAAAAGAAAGAAATCTGACAAACTCTATATTCCAAGAAACTTTAACAAAAATTGAAATCATAATCAAATTGTGCACATCGATTCTCCCACAAAACCAAATCTCTCTCTCTCGATCAACCGATTTAGAATCTATGCACATTTTTACACAGTTCGTTGGACCTCCAATCTATGTCAAAAAGTAGGACAAAAAAGAATACAAGAATGTTGAGTGAGAGACCTACTAATAAATAAATAGCCTGAGAAATAAATAATGCAGCCATCTATAAATTCTGCTTTTCATATTTGAATTATGATTGCAACTTGTATACGTAAAAGATATGAGGATTAAGTACTTGGTAGTAGCACACTTCCAAATCTGACGCCTCTAAATCAAAAATCTTGCTGCTTATGCCTTGCCCAACTCGAATATATTTGGCTATCATGATGAGAAGAGAGTGGATGGATACAGGACAGGCAGTAAAGTGAACATTTCATTAAATGGGATTATGTTAACCGATTTTTATATATTTTTTCAACGACATCTTCAAAGAATGACGAAAATGTGTGCTATAAATGAATGACTGAAAAGCGCTGTTGTACCAGAATGAATGTCTAAATCTGTATTCTTTCTTTTCTTACAACAATTATTATCTAAAGGACCATGCTCGACTGTTGTAAGAGTCGACAGGAAGTCGTTAGGCACAGAAAACAAAATCCATTTCTTCATCTTCATCTTCATCTTGAAGAAGTTCATCTTCATACGCGGATCTGATGGCTGATATAGCTTCAGGAGAGGGGGCAGATGATGCCATGACCATGGCCTTAAATTGTTCTACATTAAAAATAATTATTTTTGTTAGCCATGTTTTAAGACTGAAGAATTTTGAATGCTTACCTGCAACGGAAGCTACTGTCGAAGAGGAGACAGAACTACCGGCACCATTTGACGACGACGCAGGTGCAGCATCAGTCGAAACGGCAGATTTCTTAGGAAATGGACAATCCCTGATTAAATAAAAATAATAATTAAGGGAACAATCAAATCTCTATAATGACAATTTAATTATTAATTACTGGGCAACATGTCCCTTCGTCTTGCAGTTGTAGCAATTTCGCTTTTCTGTAATTAAAGAACCAGTTTGGGGTTATAAGAAAAGAAATAATTTTTAATAAATCCGACTTACCAATACCGCCCCGAAGTCGTCCACCTCCACTTCCTCGTCCACGCCCACCTCGTCCACCTCCACTTCCTCGTCCACGCCCACCTCGTCCACCTCCACTTCCTCGTCCACGCCCACCTCGTCCACCTCCACTTCCTCGTCCACCCCGTCCTCTTCTACCACCCCCACTTCCTCTTCCATTATCCCATCCAACCGAATTGACGGTCAAAGTGTATCCTTGGCCAGGGAGAAGAGGAATGGGAAGTTGAAATCCACTCATTCTGAAATTTATTTTTATACTTAAACTTTGCTAACCTAGCTTTAAAGTTTAATTAAGTAGATGGATAATTACTTACCTTAACCAGAAACGGCGACGAACAAAAAGACAACGAAAAATAAGAATCCCAAGTACGCCGCTCTGCGACGAGATGAATTGCTGAAATGCGAATAATAAAATTTATTTTATTAATCTATCCCATATAATTAATTATAAATTATTTTTAATTACCAAACTTCCGTAAAATGGCGAAGAGTCAACGTGGATGAGACTGATTGGCCAAAGAAGAAACGGCAAACGGAAATAAAAGTTGAAGTCGTCAACCTAGAAAATAAAAATAAAGGAAATATTACTTAATTTATCTCATTTAATATTTATTTTAATGTCAATTAATAAAATCTTACGGATTTATTTATTATTGTAGATATCTGTGAGAGTTTGCTTGCAGCTGAGTCGAGCGAGAGCGAGCGAATGACGTATTGACAAACAGGAGAGTACGTATTTCCCTTCCCTCGCTCGACTCAATACGTCATTCGCTCGCTCTCGCTCGACTCAGCTGCAAGCAAACTCTCACAGATATCTACAATAATAAATAAATCCGTAAGATTTTATTAATTGACATTAAAATAAATATTAAATGAGATAAATTAAGTAATATTTCCTTTATTTTTATTTTCTAGGTTGAAGACTTCAACTTTTATTTCCGTTTGCCGTTTCTTCTTTGGCCAATCAGTCTCATCCACGTTGACTCTTCGCCATTTTACGGAAGTTTGGTAATTAAAAATAATTTATAATTAATTATATGGGATAGATTAATAAAATAAATTTTATTATTCGCATTTCAGCAATTCATCTCGTCGCAGAGCGGCGTACTTGGGATTCTTATTGGCTTGTTCGTCGCCATTTCCGATTAACGTGAGTAATTATCTATTTATTTAATTATATAATAAAGCTAGGTTAGCAAATCAAAATTTAAAAAAAAATTTGGTGTTTATTCACAGGAGAACTTACCTACAGGTGTTATCCGGCGTCGAATTCTTTAGTTAGATTATTTTTAATTTACGTTTTATTTTAGGTTAGTATTTTATGTTATTTATTTAGTTAGTTAGTTATTAGTTATTATTAGTTAGTTATTAATATTATTTAAGTAAATATTATTCAGTAATTTAATAAAAAATAAAACTGCTTTGTGCGGTTTTCTATACAAACAACTGCTGTGTGCGGTTTTTCATAAAATTAACTGCTTTGTGCGATTCAAAGACTTTGTGTCTACAAAATGTCTCTTGGTAAAAGACAAGATGAAACTCTTCGTTATCATACTTGGAATGCCGGAGGGCACTTAAATCAAGAAAATTTGGAAGAAATGAATGATTACTGGGATGGAAGCAATCTTGTTTTTGTGCAAGAAACACATTTGCCACCTTCAGAAGAATCAGCCCTGGCTGATTATGCTAAAAACTTTGGGTGGAAAGTAAAGTTTAATTCCGCAGTTCCATATGATGGTATTAATGGAGGATGGAGAGATGGTGTTTGTGTTTTCTACAAAAACATAAAAATCAGGCAAATTGTGCTCCCTCGATGCAAATTCGATGGTCTCCAACCAGATCCACAACGACTCATGCTAATTGAAGCAATGAGTGATTTGAGTACAAATCCAATATTCTTTTTCAACATGTATTTTCCTGCTTGCAGAAATGACGCAATCAGGGTGCGAGAGCAAGAACGATGGTTGAAGATAATCGATCATTTCTGCGACGAGTATAAAAATGAACTTGTAGTATGGATCGGTGACTTTAATTGTGAACGATTAAAATCATGGAATGATAAGCCCAACAGAAAATCATATGTTTTTGATTCTCTTGAAGTAATTCTTGAGAAATATGGGTTTCTTGATGTGACAGACCATTTGTGGGAAGAAAATGTCTTCACTCGACATGCTCCACATTTCTCGAATAAAGTTAATCATATAGTTTCGATGCTGGATCATGTGCTGATCTCCAGAGGTATGCAAGTGTATCACCAAACTTGTATTCCTCTCTATAATGGTCCTCTAGATCTAAGCGACCACGTTAATATTCAATGTAGCAACAAGGTTGCTACTGCACAATTCCCTGCTGTTCCAGTCGTCGGGAAGATGGTGTGTGACCCACCCGTAATCCCTCGAAATCACCGTCGTGAGTTTTCATGTATCTGCGGATACATTTCTATAGATAGAAGCAACTATGGTAGACATTTGAAAACATGTACAGGGACAACATATACCACCGTTTGTGAACTTTGCAACCTCGATTGTGGAAATAGGGGTCAATTAGTACGACATAAAACAGCGTGTACAGGGGGAGAACTGAAATGCACAATTGGATGTGAGAAAATTTTTCGGTTACAGTCAGAGCTTGAGTGGCATGAGAAATTCTGTAATGGGATTGAAGGAACTGTCTGTCCAAACTGTGCTAAGGATTTTGAGAACAAGACATCTCTAAGGAACCATTTGAGGCATACCTGCAATGGTCCTAAAAATCTTACATGTCCCACATGTAAGAAAGAATTTAAATATTCATCGAAGCTTGAAGAACACTATGCCCGAAATCCCAGTTGTCGAAATGGGTCTCTGGAGCGTTAATCGCCTCACAAATTTCGAAACGAGAAATACAACTAATTACAGTTTAGGGAATGAAGATTGGCGTTGATTATTTGTCATCATTTTGATACTTGTTAGATCTCACTATATTGTAAAAGGTTTCATGAAGCTATATATATATCGAGTATGTTTCATTATTGTAATTGTAACAATTATTAGCCTTGCAAAGTTTTCACACTAATGCAAAAAAAACAGTGGCAACTGGCGATATAAGAGTTCGATTACATAACAAATAAAAATGTGCACGAGGTTGTGAAATTGCTCGCTTGCTGTAAATACATAATCTTTGCAAAAACGATGGTTAAAAAATGTCCCTTCGCTCTGTGTCGTCTGTAACAAAAAAGACTTGTCTCATCGTCAGTGGGAAAATTCCAGTTTCTTTTTAACACAATGTATATAATGTGTGCTCAATCCATCTGTGATATTTACCATTTAAACGATTACTAAATCATGGTTATAAGTTGTTTTTCTGGAATGATTGTCTTTGGTACATTTATTTTTACTTGGTTTAATCAAATATGAAGACGCATCGTCATTTATTATTTTGACATAAATGACGTAAGTGCAGTAGTCCGAAGGTATTCTTGACAAAGAAACATCTTTACATAAGTAAGCTGCTAGGTAGAGTGGTGAGCTATGAATACAATCATTCGGAGAACGATGCAATCAGAATGCCTATGCAGCTCGGCAAATATTTGTCAAAAAACAAAAAGAAGAGAGAGCAACCTCATGATCATTTCCCCAGAAAAGTCGCGTACCCATGTGGTAAACTCGAATGCATATTTATTTGCATGCTTCTCTCTATTGTTGTACTGGCGAAATTGACCCTGTAGAAATTGTAAACTATTTCCATCTTATCGATCTGACCTGGCTGGCTGCTGGTGGCGGTTTCGCTTCCAAGAGATAATTACGATGAACTACGTATATTGCGAAATCATCATAAACAAGGGTAACCAAATTCACCTCCCAATCCAAGTTACATACATATGTTACCAAATCATCTTATGTACTCGGGTTAAAAATTTATGCGAATTGCACACGCGTTGTTGTTGTTACAGTGCAAAAAAAACAGTGTACAGACCCTGATGAAAAGTGGGATAAGTGAGACGTGGCTGCCGGTTCGACCTCCTCTCGACAAACCAAATGACAAAGATGACGGCAAAACCATTAATTATCTATCCATCATTAATGTCTATCCTACGGTTGAATAATGATGTTGGATGTGGAGGAGGAGAAGAAGTATTCTTGTCAAGTTTAAATCTGAGTCCAATACTCTTTTAAGGGAAATGCATCATTGAAAAGAGAAATGGTTGCATTTATTCTCTTCATCAGTCTTCAATACGAATGTGAGTGGAAATGTGTGCCAAATAAATCGAGTCCGCATATAATAACGCAACAAAAGACGAAACTAAACTATCGGCCAACCCATAGTTTTTCTTCCAAGAATATCAACAACGAACTTATTAAACAATCACTTTTCGAGTTAACTAATTGCAAGTGGAACATAAATAAAGAATTCTATTCAGTTTGTACCAAGTTCTAATAATAATTAAATTGATGCCAACGGAAATGAAACCTTCAATGAACGGCCACTTTTTTTCAGGTTAAAAAAGTTACGTTGTAAATAAGTAGGAACGACTTTCTCCAATCTGTAAATAATTGAAATATCTAGGTCTCACTCAGGTATCAAGTCCAATGAACCATTAAATGTCAGTGTGGGCTGCTATTTATTCAAAAAAGCTTGACAGAACTTCCGAGCATTATTATTACTTTTTCTACGGGGGCGAAACGTACTTTGGGGAAAAGGAAAGTTTAAAGTTTCCAACTTTCGTTCAGAAACAGTGTCTGGAAATATCCTTAGGCAAATGTGCCGCCGCTAATAATGGAATGCCATGCAAAATTCATTACAGTCAACAGAAACTATATATATCTCGACTGTCACAAGCAGAAGTCGCGTATTATATGTATGTGTATATAAGATTACAGACAATGAAGCCACTTTTAGTATTTATACGACTTGTTCATTTTAAAACAATAAAATATTGAGCAAATATATAAAACCGAGTAATAGATCACAGATGTATAAATATTCATTCTGTAAAGCTTTGTATGAGCAAATATATAATAGTAAGCACGTCTATGTATATATGCATAATCCGTCCTGGTTGATGAGAACGGAGGAACAAGTAGGTGGTGACAGCGGCTTTATAATAATTATTTGCACAACGACTTGCTGAAAATAGATTTTGCAAAGTCTTCACTTCTCAAACACGAATTAACTTTTATGGTCGCAAATCCCTCGTCTATATTTTATGATGAGTATGTAATACATGGAAGAGAGTGCAAATGTTTGCTTGCTATTTTGTTCGTCTTATTAAGCATTTCTTTTGAACTCGGCAACGAAACAGGTAAGCAAATGTAGAATACATGGCGATATTATTATTACGAATCTCCTACGACCAAATAGAGGTTTTTCTTACCAAAATCGCATAGCTAATGTAATTCGGTTTTCAAAAAACAGTAGTCGAAACAGAAACCATTTCAGCCGCAAAAGTTATCTTATCCGAGAGTCATGGATTGGTTCGAAACAGAAAGATCAAAAGAGGAAAAAACCTTGCAATCTTTATTCGAAAATAAAGTGCCCATTGATGAAAGTAAAAACAAGATTGCATGTTTAGGCATCATGTTTGTTGGAAAACATGGCTTGCAGTACCAATCAATTAACTACGCAATCCAAACTTTTAAGCTACAAATATCATAAGTACTTATACTAACGAACAAATCAGCAACTCAGCAGATGGAATGGATGAGAAAGTTGAGAAACTGGAAACTCAAAATAAACTTCAATTATAAACCAAGAAACCGTTTATTACTGTCAGCTCCTATTTTGCATACTCTTCATCTTGTTAGTAGTTCTGAGAGGAAAAAAATCAATAACTTGCACGGAATGATTCCCTAAATGGAACCATGACCGGTGAAATTATGTCCCTTCATTTCCAAGTAATAAAAATATTTTAAACATGACGAATGACGAAAGAACCTTACAACATGATTTTTGTACACGTTGCTGAAATGTGCATGCATACATCCCGATTTATTTCGCTTGCAGCCAACTAAGCACTTTATACGAGTCAAAAATCACAATGTGAACGATCATCAAATCTCAGCAGTAGGTTAATCACATATTGTTCTTTGTTGAAATCAGTTCATTGCATTGCACACCGTTTAACATATTATTTGCGGTGGCGATGTGATAACATCATCGTCAATCGTGGTGGCAGACACTGCATCATTATAAAAAAGTGCAAGCAAAGAATGCATGTTTCAAAAAAGAATGTATTTAATGACTCATTTCATTTCATCTTCGTGCCCAATTCATAGCAGCAGATCTTGTCAAGCGAGAGAAAACATGGTCGAAATACAAGGCTTGAATTCTTGGATGGAATGGAGTACCCCTTCTTTTGGTAGCTTTGCATATGTAAACAGTGGAACAACAAACTATCCATTTAAAGGACGCAATAAGACATTAGAAGAACACGATTTCTACTCCGCAGTAAGTAAGTGGTGGTTGTTTGTTGTACTACAGCTAAACTTATTCAGAACGATACAAACAACTTAATGGAATTTTAGAACAAATATTTGAATTGATAATTGTCCAATAAATCAACAACACCACAATACTACTACTACCACCACAACCGAAATCAAATGCCAATATTAATACCGTCGGAGGACAATGAAATGATTTATCTGTATAGAAAGAAGAGAGACGAGAACGGTGTCTGGCAGGATACCTCTTGGGACATTTGAATTACTTAATATGCAGAATGGTGCAACCAACCAATTTATTTTTTAATTAATTGTCCGATGCCCAGAATATGAAGGAAGGAAAGAAAGTAGATGATGATGATGATTCGAGTGTGTTAGTTGTTATATAACCTTTTTTATGTCATGAACAATGAGATTACGGAATGGAAGGGTTGGAACAATCGATCTTTTTCCGAGAAGATGAAGAGTGCATATGTACATACATATTTTCGCACTTTACATAACTCAGTAATTTGCCTCTAGGAGAATATTCACTCGAGTCGAAAAAGATCAAAAATAAGCTCAATTTGCATTTGTGTAAAGTAACACAAATTTTAATATTTTGTTTAGATTTTCTAGTTACGTAAATTATGCATTACGCAATTATCTAAATTATTTGAAAGTTATTTTCTAATAACAAAGAATTATTATGTGTACTTAAACCCAGAAGAAAATGAAGATGAGACTTTTATGACCCAAAATTCTTGCGAAACATTGTTGTCTGTCTTCATTCAGCTTTTATTTCCTGTAATTCATCTCAAGCCTAATTTAACACGACACGTTTAAATCCGCATTAGAAGAACAGCACACAGATACATTTTAAAATCGAGTTTAATTCAATTTAACCCATTGTCTACGGTGATTATTACCAACGACTCAAAAATTCAAGTAAAGTGTTTTTAAAAGCCGCACCTTTTCTTTAAAAGACATACTTCCTTCGTTTTTTGCCTTGTTACTCTGTGTTAATTCTCTGTTTCTATCACTTATCCAACACAACTTTCACTTCTTTTATACGCACCAAACCAACGCCACCCGTCAAATTGTTGTATTTCAAAAAATGTGTGTAATCATTAGATAACATGAAATGTTGCAATTTGCCATGATGAAGCCGTCATAGAGGAAGATTCATTAGTCAGACATATAGTGCAATTGTCAGCTGTGCTATTTATCTGTTTGCCTTGGGTGCATATCCTCAATTATTATTATTGCAATCCAAACAAGAAGAAGGAATAACACAGCAACTTTGTACGTATGTACAAGTTTAAGAAGAAAAGAGGAAGATGGTAATTGGAAATTTGAATGCTTTTGGTCCTTTTATTATGTCGTTGTATCGTTCTATGTATAAAAATCATGCAACGCTCAAAAACTTTGCAAATTGCAAGTGACAGAAAAGAGCGAGCGAGAGCAAGAGGACTGATGCTAATGGGGTAGTAAAAGTTTTTGACAGAAACCTATTAACAGCGTGTGGTGGTAAAGCAATGCCAATCGATAAAGCTGTAAGTACAATTTAAGCGAGAAAAAAACGAAATGGGAATACTGACCTTTCACGACTTGCGACTGGTCACCGACGGTGAAGCTGACGCTCACACTGGGATTGATATGAAAGTAGACGACAAACTGACCAATGGCGTTGGGAAAAAATTGTGGATAAGAGCCCAGATCGGTGGATGCCGCGGCCAGGACGAAATTCGGGTTTACCACCCCACCACTTGAAGAGGAGCATGGGGGTTGCGTTGGAAGAGGGAGGAGTCCATTGTCGAAAAGTTGTAGCAATCCTGGTCCATGGTTTGTCGGCCCCATCAGAGACATAGGGGACGATGACCTTGAATGACCTGCAGTTGAGTATCCGCTCGTACTTTGTGTATTTGGCGTGTTAGTGTTGGTAGGATATGATGGTAGAACTACAGGGGGGAAGTTTGGGTCGAGAGGGAGAGGAATTATCGCGGTGGGTAGTGGTGCAGAAGATGGTGAGCCAAGTCCACCACAAACAGAGCCTGTAACAAACAACATAATTACATTAAATACATCGTAACGAAGCGTTTTCCAAGTGATAAAATATAGGTATATATTGATTTAGGGTTTAGCTAACCTAAGATATCCAAGGGAGGAAGTGCACCAGCCAATCCAGGAGAACCATTGCATAAAGCATTGCCCCACGGGGTAGTCTCTTGTTCTGCAAAGTAGCCGAATTGCATTGGCACAGCTGCCGGTCCTTGTTGGAGCAGGTTCAAATTTGAAGTCTGACTTTGGTTTTGATTATGTTGTTGGTGCTGTTGCTGGTGATGATGGTGGTGTTGATACTGCGGAGGAGGAGGAAATTTGTGTTGTTGTTGCTGTTGTTGCTTTCCTCCAAGTTTTATTAGAGGATTTTGAAGAAGACTTTGGTTATGTAAATGGCTATGATTTGTGGGAGGCATTTGAAGTCCACTAGTACTGACCGAATTTGAAAAGGGGGGTCCTAACGGTGTCGGATTTAACAGATGGCTGTTAAGATTCTGATTAAGTTGTTGCTGGAGATTTAGAGGTAGTCGGAAATTAGAAAAATTTCCAGCTTGGAATTGTAAATGTGGTTGAGTTTGACTTAAAAGGTTGGAAAGATTGCTTGCAGCAGCGGCAGCTTGAACATGAGATAGTGCAAATTGGAAAGTGGTTTGAAGTTGGGGGTTATGATGGAGATGGTGATGATGTGCCGGACAGTGGTGTTGATGATTGTTGTTGTTGTTATTATTATTCCTCCCATGATTCCTGTCCCGATAATTAGAGTGTGACATTGACAATGTTGAAGGGGGTGTAGGCCTTGAGGAGGACATAACTAAGGTTCTTCCAGTGAGTAGACTGGTAGGGGTGGATGTAGAGGTAGATGTTGCAGGTACTGTAACTGTGGTAGAAGTTGATGATTGTGCATTCGTAGTAGCGGGAGGAGGGGTTTCAGATGCAACAACTTCATTTTCTGTTTTGTCATCTTCAACCACGACGACGATGACGGGTGTTGTTTCGGTCGCACTACTGGATTTTCCCCCTGCTAAAATAGAACAGAATTAATTGGTGTGGGTTACTTGAATAGAAATATGTCAATATTTACAAAGCATTAAAGCAGCAATAATACCATCAGGTTTACCATTTTCCTCTCCTGTTGCCGGCAGTGGCGGTGGTGCAGGTGGCGTTATGACGCTGTCTCCAGAAGATGCATCGCCATCGCCTATTTCAAATGAGACGGTAACTTCAACTTCTACATTGTCGATGTTGATATCTCCTTGTTGAAATTCCTGGTCATGATCAGCATCCCTAATTTTCCCATCCTCGTCACAGGCAACACTTTCGTCTTGGAGCTTCTCTTCTTCGAAAATACACTCTTCCAATGCAGATTCTGAATCATCTTCCTTAAGAGTCTCACTACTTTCGGTACAATCACTGGACGTGGATGATGTGTCTTTATCGTCCACATTTTCTATTATGACTATGACGGGAGAAATCACTGCATTTGTGTTATCTTGTGCTACTTCCAGCCCATCCAGACTATTATCACATAATTCACACAAGTTTACTTCTTCTTTCTCATCAGCATGCACGTCATCTTTCTCCTTGTCATCATCAACTACATCGATATTGGTGTTGGCAGTTGATTGACTTGACGAATTAATTATAGATTCACTCGACTCTTCTACCTCCTCCTCCTTGGGTTCAGTCGTTTCTACTATTTCTTCTTCGTCAGATAGTGCAGGCAACTCTTCTATCACGATGGTCGGTATCACAACTTTCACTTCTGATTGTTGATGATTTAAGTCCGAACAACTCAGCCCCACGGAGGAGGGTAAGTTTTCCAAAATTGTTTCTGAAGAATTCTCGTCATCTTCTGAGGTAGTAGGGGTAGGAGTAGGAGTAATTTGATGATGGGATCCGTTTTCTGTGATTTCTGGTTCCAGGATGGGAGAAACATTTCCCGAATTGGGTTCTGGACTAGATGATGGACTATTGAAACTAATACCATTGTCGTTCGAACAGCAGTTCACCTTTCCTTTTGAGACAACTACAGCACCGAGATGATCTACAACGCCATTGTCTTTATCACGACTCGAGTCCATATTATTATTATTATGATTAATCTGTTGACTATTCTGATCGCTAAGTCTTGGCAATGGGGGTCTTAACTCGATCGCGGTCACATCACCGAGACAAACTTCCGCATGCAATATCCGCACCATTTCTTCGTGATCCGTCGTACCGAAGCTGGTGATGCTTTGATTTTGACTTTGTCGCTGTCCGATATCCGACGCTGCACTCACTTGAACCTAACGATATCACGATAAATATTTACATTTACGATGTTAACACCACTTATCAGAATCAGGCATCAAAAACTAGAACGTGTCAGAGTGCAGGTTCGCAAATTTGATGAATGAGGATGATTTACATGATAACGTATCACTCCTCTGAATTCAATCTAATGGTAAATTGAAGATAACAATGATATCCTATTATTTTTGACTTATCCATCACTCACAAGCAACGATTGAGCCATCAGCAGAAGAGGAGCTCAACTTTACTATGTTCGAAAAAGAAGAACAACTTTGATTTTCAGAGTTTCGAGCTTGCTGCTGCTAGCTGCACCGATTTCTTGATGACTTGAGTAGTTAAAAGTTAACTAATGACCAGTTTAGATAAATGTCCTGTATCCTAAAAAATACAAATTCAGCAACAAATTAATCATGCATAAAAAGTTCCAGATTGTAACCCCAGAATTCACACCAGACTTCAAACAAAATATCTCCCGAAATGCAAAACCTCCCTTACCTCACTGAACAGTATTCCTTAATTTGTCCCTCTCCTAATTCCAACTAATTACTTACAAAAATCCAAAAGGTAAAAAAGTTGCATTACTAAATAAATATTTTTTTCAATAATTTAAAAAATCTCTGCTTGCTCGACTCGCGCCCGCCCACGGATTTATTTTTTATGGACAATTTCAGACAAAACCATACCCTCAAAATTCTCTCAATTTCTCCCAAACAAGTTATAAAATTAAATCCAAAAACACTTATAAAATCATTACCAAACCATTCCCCACAAATTTTCCCAATGCATATAAACAAACTCCCCCTCACAAAAAAAATGCATGGAGCAAAAAAAAAACATTTTCCAGACGTAGTAACAAGAAAATTCCATACCTTAATTTTATCTCCTCCTCCTCCTGCCTGTCTCCTTTTGTTCAGTATTTCAGTAGTGAAAGCTGCACTTTTTTTCTGGTGGCTGTATGCAGCAGAGATCTGGATTAGCGCAGCTGTTGATAAATAGAAAGAGGTCAGAATTACTCCGTTTCCCGTTCTTCTCTTTCTTCTTTCTCCAGCAGGACACACGACGAGGACGACGGCGACGAGCACATTACTTTCTCCACGCTCAAGTTGAACTGAGCCAAAGAGAGAGAGAAAGTTAGCGTTAACACGGAGTCCTAGAGCTGACGTACATTACATGATGCTGCTGCTGGAGAAAGTTAGTGTGCACCAACTAACCAACTAACGAGAGATAGAGATAGAGAGTGCAGTTTGGGTAACCAGCATTTCTCGCCAACTGACACTTTTCTCCACATCCACATACACACACACACCTAAGGATCTGCCTACCTACTACCTACTTGGTTTAACAGGCTGAATAAACTGAATACCCACCATCATTCCAGCTGCTCATCCTTCAACATAAGCAAGTCCCACCAACCAACCACCACCCACTCATTCAGAGACCAAAACTTGTACTTTCTCCTCCTCGGCTCAACAGTTCTCGTCTAAATCCAAGCTATCCATCCACCCACCCACCCACTACTACTACGATATGGTTGGTGAAGTTATTAGTCAGTCTCATCGGGGTACAGGACAGGGTCGGGACTTATCTGCTTTCATCTTACCGGCAAAACTAATATGTATACCGGGCCAGGTGAAATATTTAGTTTTTGTTTGATGATGATAATGAAGGTGGTGCGACGCAGCGGTTAATTGCATTATTTAGATGTTGCTTTTAATAATAAGGTGGCTTGTCTGCTGGGGAGAAAGTTCTGAGAAATGTGAGATTGTTAAGAAATGTATGAAAGTATTATGCAAAAGTTTTCGTAACGTTTGGAATCTATGACACGTAGGGGAAGTTCATATTTTGTAATATTTTGTCTTTGATGTTTTCTGATTTTTGATTTGAGTGAGATGTTTTAAATTTTAAAGCAGATTCATGAGATTCATAACATTTTGATGGAATATTATACTTCGTTTTGGTGTGGTTGTGACGCTGGGTGAAAGTTTGATCATCGATTGAAAACAAGTCTGTCGTTGGATCATGTATTATAAAATTGTGGCAAGAAGGGTGAAGAGGACAAGAAACGCTACAAGTGGAAAAATAGAGAAGAGAAGAGGCTGGAGAAAGACGACGGTGAGAAAAGAGACGACGGAATAAAACTAACTTGACGCCCCCGGATTTTGCCCCATTGCTAAATTTAGTGGTGCAGTAGTAGGAGCAGCAATATGCAGAGAGAAAGCAGAGAGCGAGAGAAAGTTGATGCGGCTGCTAAACGAAAAGGACGCTAAAGTGAAGGAAGGGGTGCTTGTTATTAGCGGGTTGGTCGTGTTGCAGGAAAAAAAGAGCGGATTGATGACGTCGTAGAAGAACAGAGGCGAAGAAATGTACAACAACGTCATCGACAAGGCCAAAAGACCAGTCGTGGATTTTGCAAGATTTTGCTCTCAGCACCACCTTTCATGCGGATTGGGTTGCTTTCTCTCTAGGCTACTTTCTCCCAGTTGGTGGAAGGTGTCTCGGGTCGTAATTTGTACATTTATTTGTGTTTGACGATGAGAAATTATGCCATGTAAATTGGATTTTTTTAAATTCAAATTTTATTGAGATACGGACAAGAAATTTTATTGGCATAAAGCGAGAAATACAGAAAAGAAAAATGTAGCAATATTTTCCCAAATATTTTTTATAATGCTTGATTCTTGTCTGTGGTTATCAATGCATGTATACATAATCTTCCAATATTTCTAACCCGGTAACATTAGGAAGACTTACGTACATGATATGCTTGCTATCGATTCTGGAATTACTTATATGATACGGGACTTATCGCTACGATAATAATTTTCACCTTTCACCTTGGAAGAGTATATATACTTTTCTCCGTAATGCCGGCCTGTGTAGGTGTCAACATAATCAGTATCGGGTTTTTGTGATCACCCGCATCATCATCGTCGTCGTCTGACTGGAACTTTTTCAGAACACCGTGATGATTATGCAATACAGATAGTCTAGAAATAGGTTTTTTGATATAAATCAAAGTGTGGTTAGTATTGGTACATACAAGTGCAGTTCTCCTTCACATTGACATATGCATCATATAACGAAAGGGTAATGATTAACCGGCTCTCAAATCAATACCCATTGTGTAGATAATGGAATTTTTTCAAAGGCTGCATAAGTACGTAGGCGACACAATATGATTCACATTTACGGGGAAAGTTACGTCATGGAATATTTATTTTAAGCGCAGTTCCGAATTCCGTCGTGTCGATCTCTTAAATTTTCTTCCTTTTAATGTTTCATGGAGATTTCGGATGCATGACAGTGCAAGTGTAACAATGATGAGAGGATGTACACTCATAAATTAGTGCAAAAGCATTTCCCAACCAACCCATGTTGTTTATAAATAAGCGATTTATTGAGTTTAAAAACGTACACGAGTAGCATGTAATTAGAATCTACACGTGGAATCACAGATCTGTCAGTTTTCGTCGTACTCATATATAAGCAAATATAGTACGCACTTCATCTCTCGAGCATTAAATTTAAAAACCATCATTACTTATCAAAAAGTTACACGATAATCCCAATAAGAAATATTAACTCATTCTTTCATAATGGATTAAATTCATTATCTTTACCATTCTTGTCGTCAGTTCTTTTTCATCTTTTTTTTCTAACACTTACATATTATTATTAAAAGTATTGTATACAGCGAGGATAAAAATGAAGCAAATTCACAACACACTCATTTTCCTTCTTCTTATGTAGCAGCATAGATCAATCAGTCAGTTGGAAACTTACGGCTAAGTAGATATAGTTAGTTAATGTTACTTACTTGCTACATAATCATTTTATCAAATACTCGACTGATGGTTGTTATTCAAGAATACGAGGACATTGCAAAAAACAGTGAGGAGTGGAATTTTACATTCAATTTATAATCCTTCAGTCATAATAATATTTTTAGAATGTTAATCAAAAAAATTCCATGGTCTATGTAAATACAGGTAATTCTCACATTGAATTGTAAATATAAGAGGGTTCACAGTCAACAGTCGTCGAAATTAAAATTATTAGTTAGAAATTGATAATGATTCAAGCTCAGGCTGATTATTTTTTATAGTTAAATTGTCTAAACCTTTTACATGCAAGTTTTACAGTGATCATAACCTTATGTACTTTTACCTTAATGTCCTATGTTTAGTTATAGCAAAAACCAACAGTTAGTTATCTTTGTTCATTAGGAGTCAAGCGCTTGTCCATCACACAAGGCGTCATTACATAGTATATTATTGTTGCTATTAAATTAAACAATTGTCATTTTGATCGCATGCATTTTTAAGCAAATAAGTTTATGTCAGATGACTCAATAATAATAATAACTAATTAAAAATTAGGAGATGTGGTATCAAATAAAAATTTATGACACGAAATATTGGCTTATTTTACGATATCCTTTTTTCTGCGACAAGCTAAAAGATTGTTTCGTAATAATATATAAGTGATTTGACTTTTTACGACATAATAATAATAATAGCAGTCTATGAATGAAACTCAAACTCAAAGGTGAATGTAGTGCAACAACACATTACACACTCAGGATATTTTTGCATGCGATAATACATAATAATAGAAAATTATTAACTACTACCGATACGTTTTTTTGACTTATTGACAACAATAACATTTTCACAATAATGATGATTGTAACAGTAAAAACCGAGTTAAAACAGTGGAATCATCATTAAGAGTTATTATTATTATTATTACAAACGAATTTAAAATGACTAGAATATTCGTAGAAAAAAAGACTGTTGAATGTTTGCATGCATAACGCTTTGCATGGTTTCTAATATTTATATACAAGTATAAATTAAATAGTAACAAACAACGGCAAAAAATTATTCATTCAGTATCCCAGAGTGCAGCGAAAATCTATCAACAATACAAATAATTGTCAAATCGTCAAGTAGAATAGTTTAAAATCACACGTCTTGAATAAAATCCTGTGTTAAGTAACCAAAAAATTATGTAATTAATTACTCGATTCCCAACTTAAAAATCCTTCCGGCAGTTTAAAAGTAGTTAATAATATTAATTATATATATTGTCAGCATCAATGTCGATTATTTTGATCGAAAGCAGTAGCAATCATGGAGGAGGATGACACAGTTTTCAAACAATTTTGACATTAGGAGTCATTGCATTCTTTTTTTCTTCGATTCGGAAGACCAAAGAGATGATGATGAGATGATGGTCTTCCAACAATTAATTAATGCTGCATTGAATGATGATGGGTTTGTAGTTATAAAAGATTTAAGGTCGAATTATGATGGGTTGTTTGGAGGGGGGTTGTTGGGTCCTCCTTTGAGTTGGGAAAGCGTCTGCTCGGTGGCGTTTGCTCTGAGGATTGTATTTTCGTACTCGAGCTGGCTGATGCGCTCCTGTAAAAATCATACCAGAAATTTTTAAGTAATTTTGTTCTCTGTACGTGTCTTTTTATAAATAAAATTATATTGTTGCTGCTTAATCGTACCATGAGTTCGGCAATTTTCTCTTTGAGCACTTCCACCTCCTCGCGGACTGCAAACATCAAGTGGCTTTTCACCAAGTCCTGAAATTCATAGAAAAATAATAATCAATTTAACAATGAATTCAGCAACAACATTAAAATATTTTTAACAATGGGACAATTAAAATATTTATGCGGGCAAAACATCCATTTCCTGCCACTTTTACAGATTTTTACAGACTCCCAACTTAACTATAAATGGTACTCAAATTCAGTGTAATATTCAGGAATTATATGCAATATTCTAAGAATCGAGGACATGTACAACGGCATATGTGAAATTCATTCCAGACACGTATTTTCATCTCACGAAATGATTCTAAACTTTAAATGGCCCGATTGTCAGTGTTCAAAGTAATTAAATGCTTCTAGAACATCTCAGACCAACATTAATGAATGAGGAAGACTGTCTTTTCCAGCATACTTCAAACAAGACAAAAGAAAATACTGATTTCCGTGATCAAAGAGCTACAATACTCATTACTATGCGTAGCAAACCGCCTCTTCAACAACTGTGTAAACGAAACTTACATATTCATCTGGAACAAAGAGGTAGCACACATCATTCAAATCTTTTCTGTGTACTTCGTACAAAGCTGAGGATGAAATTCGTCTTCTTCTATTATTTTGTACCGGAGGAACGGAATCAGGGATTTTATCCCCACCGTCAAGAACAGGCGATGCTATTATATTCATCTCCCCACAATTACTAATAATATTTGCACTGTGGCTGAATTGTACTGCTGCACAGCTCATGTTGCTCAAGTGTATCATGTAGAAAAACTGGAGATGTATGTAATTTTTTGTACTGAATAAAATGAACCACGCTTGGCTCGGAAAAAGCAAAAATGATGATAAATTGGAACAGTAGACAGGAACAGGGTAGGTAGTTTTAGAAAATGCGAAGGTTATCTTCGTGTCGCGTCTCGCCTCTCAAAAATCTTGACGCTCTACACTACTTGGTTCTTCGGATAAGTCGAAATACAAGTGGGTGTTGGATATACAAGATATTTACTGGCTGGTTGCGTAAAAGTGTATGTACTGCCACCCGAAAATGATGTGGTGGTGCGAATAATTTGTGCAAGTGGTCCACTGAGCTGCGGAAAGAGAACTGAGCTCGAGAAAGAGAGTTACCTGCTATTTCTATCTCTTTTCTGCCCCCTGTGCAGTGATAAGATACCCCATCATACATGCATAACAGTTATAACCACCAGTCACCACCAGCAGGGTTAGTAATTATGCTCTACTTATCTTGCCAATAATAACGACGACCGAGCTGCACTTTCATATCTTTTCAATACATAACATGATATATTTTATTATATATTTGTCAGTTATTTGCGTCTGATGGGTGAGAATTGAAGGCTTGAAACTTAGCACCTAAACCTAATTCCAGACAGAGAGGCACATGCATAATACAGAGATAGCTGCTCAATATATGAATATCAAGGTTCAGGATTGTGCTAAAATCCATTCATGCAGTAGTTATTAGAGTATACAAAAGGGTAAAATGATCACTGTACAGATTTGCTTTACCACCATCACAAATGTGGCTTTGATCTGGATACCAATAATAAGACTGGTGGTGAATGCATGATTAGTTCTCGTGAGGATTTGCGTATCGGCCAAAAACCAAAAATAAAAAAATGGATGTTTGCTGCGTCCATCGTACCATGTGAGAGTTAGATAAAGGGGAGTCATTTAGAATACAGGGTCCATGTTTTGATTATGTATGTGAACATGTAAGAAACTTACACCATCCACTTAAGTATAACTTGTAAGTACTGCTTATCTGGCCATTTTATTCACCAACTCTTGACGAGTTTAATTGCAATCATATTATTCAACAACTTCTTTAAGCAAAATAGGCAAATAATTAGCTATCCAGCAGCTCAACCACCCAGTAGTTAGGCTGGATGCGAGTTGAACAATAAATTCACTATATGACATCGTGCACACAAAGTGCCAACAGATTTGCATGCGAAGTTGTAAAACTAAACAATGATGAAACAATAATTATTAAAGCCTACACATGTGTAATAATAACAAGCTATAGGATTCGCAATGTGGCTGCTGAAACTTCCTTCTCCAACTTCTTATCCATCCATTCACTTCTTGTTGAATAAAGTGATGTTATAAAAATCTCGAACAATAAGTACGTGACAAAAACAGTCAACACCAAGTGAAGGCATGTTGTAAGGAATTTGCGAGAGACAAATGCAAAAACATCACTCTGCACAATAATTGTGTGATATCAAACATTCACTCTCTATCCAGAGAGAGCTATTATATTTGCATTTGAATAGATGTCATGAATTACATTACCTTCCAAACCAGACCAGTGCACAATTGATACGAATCTGTTAAGCCAACCAAAATCCCAATAGGTGCCTAATCCTATTGTCCTTTGTCAATTTTAAAGTATAACCAGTTCAAATATAATTAAGATAAGCTAAATTTAGGCACACAATTGTCATTTCAATCAACTTGACACTCCACTTGATCATGTCATCGTGAAACGAATGACGACAATCGCATATCTATCATGCGACACACGTCGTTAAAATCTGGTTTTATATAACCTGCTAATTAAATAACAAAACTGTTCAATTATCCAATTACTAAATGAAATAGAGTATAAAATTTTATGAAAATGTCAACAGATCACAAGAGCTAAAAATACCTGCAACGTAAAATCCACCCTGTTAAATCTGTCAGCCTAATCAAAATTCATTTATGCAATGCCACAAAAATCATTAATCCATGGCAGATGCAGATGGTAAAAAAAATCATTATCACTTCCCCGAATTCCACTACAATTCCCCTGAATTTATCGATAAAAGCTAATGACTTCCACAAAAGAAGGAATGAAATTAACCAAACTATTTATAGTGCAAAGAGCACGTCAACAGGTAAGTAATTCATGATTTTTAAGTGCACGCTGCTTCAAATCATAATGGCACACAAGTGGCAACTCACAAGAGACGAAAACAAATTGCAAAATTAAGCAATCAATTCATCTGCAGCATACCCATCTCACCACTTTATGAGGAGAACACACACAGAGAGCACATAGAGGTTTGACCCTGACCGTCAGAATTGCACAAGGACATAGACACCATGCTAATGCTACCGCTGTACCATTAAAGTCAAGAGACTTGACTGATCTCTGGTTTACCGTGATGATGATACCAGTGTAATGCAGTATATCGAAATTAACTTTCATTTGTTTGCAATCCATAAGCCAGATAATAATAGAATTTCGCTAATGTGTGTAACGGCTTTAACGTTCGCATCAAATCATCATCCGGATCATGAGTGATGGGTGTTTGCTTGCATATTATTTCCCCTCGAGTGAAACTACTGCAGTAGTTTCTCTTTTATCCCCTCTCGGCGACAGAGACTCACCTAAGCAATTAATTCGACCTACTCCTTGCCGTACTTACATTACTGGGTTTTATGGATCGGTTGATGATATCAAGTCAAGCGGTGCAAAACTCAGGGACAAAATAGATGACATTTGGTAGTCCATTAGCAGAAATGAATATTGCAATATGCAGCTGGCTGGCTGGCTCGTGCATTGCGTTTCAGTTGTAATGTAACTAACTAGAAGTCGAGATATTTGCAAATGGTTGAGTAAACTATGTACGACACCATCGATTCCCTATCACGAAAAACGACCATAAAATATCCCAGCTTAACTCTTGATAAATAATCATGGTAAACATAACAAACGAGTTGTTTGGCTCACTGCAATAAAATTTGGGCATTCAATTGCTTTCACTACTGAAGATTTCCACACAATTTGCTAACAACTCTGCAACATATATTGCAGGTTCTCCCTGAAAAGCAATATAGGATTGGGTAATCTAACCGTACACCGTATGACATTTTACTACACGAACTTGGATCGTGAACAAGATCGATATATAAGTATATACAAGACATTAACAGATAGAGAGAGAATCGGTAAACATCTAGACATTTGAATATCATTTGTGCGCTACTACATAAGTCCGCAAGATGAAAAGGTCAAGAACACTCCATCCAATCTCAACCTCAATTGGATGAACCAAGCCAAGAATTTTTTATTCAAGAACACACCGAATTATTGGTTCCTGCTTTCACAATCCATCCATAGATTCCATTGATTTACTAAATTATGTAACTAAAAAATGCAGACGACTCGTCCAGACTAAAAAAATATATTACCCATTTAATTAGAAAGTAATATGATGTTTATTTCTTTTCCGCACCGTGAGAAAGCTGATGACGTCACAAACTTCATGAGAAATGACTAATAATTCCAAAGAAATGCACCACCAAACTCATTTAAACTCCTGACCTATTCATTTATGTTTTGACCATTAAATTTAACGGTTTTATTAGGTACAAATAATAAAACCTTCCTCAACTACCACATTCATTCACCACCCACTATTTTGCATCAGTAATTTGAAACTTTATCAAGTGTTCCTCTACGTCGTTGTAAAATTTTCCCATGCACATTCCTGACATCCGATCTTAAATACTACGAAGTAAAAGAAAAGTCACAATCCTAACGTACTAGTCACCCCAGTTCCAGTTGCAAATATTTATTATTAAATGCATTGATTAGGTGAGAATAAAACTAAAACGAAATTTCACAATGCATGACATCATTCTCATTCCTCTTGGAGTGTAAAAATATAAATAAACATGTAACGCGATACTTTCGCAGGAAACCAAACCACGATTCGGTGGCTGTCCACATTGCATAAACTCCACATTAGATAAACTCGTTAACCACAAACGTTTTTACCAACTGAAAAGCTCATCGTTGTTTGGCATTCTGTATCATCTGACGGAGGGGGAGGATGAATCATCGTGAAATGCATGGCAAAACTAAAGAAATTGTAAACCGCTTCATCGATCTCATGATGATGATGACATTCTTATGCATAAGCGGAATGCTTAGCTCGTTGACATTTCACAGTTAATAAACTTGACATTCACAACTGCTGCTGAAGGTGGAATATTTTAGGCAATCAAATCTGTCGAAAAGTCAAACTAGAAATATCTGCCATCAACTGTTTCACTCACTTCAGAACAAAAGCAAGATAAGTGAAACCACTTGATCCGCTAAATGCTTATGAAACTATGGAATGTCTACTTAGGATTAGTTAACGATAATAAATTCGTACTCTACTACTAATTAACCTTGCATTGTATACACAACTTATGACATTCATCGGCCATTTAGTATTTCATAAATTAGCATGAAAAACTATCCCTACCAATCTATTTCAATTACAGAAATACTACGAGTAACAATGCGCCTATGTCAATAAGGATGCCCCACCCCCACTATTGTAATTTATAACCATAGTAGTGAAGCAGGAAGGAACTATTTAATGGAGATGATGATAGCTTGGCCAAGTGTAATTATCTATATTGGCAATTTCCGTTGTACATGCAGTCGTAGACAAATTACTACTCGTTTATATTCACACACGATTAAAAGATGAAACAGTAAACTGCATCTGCAACGGAAAGCTGCTATACATACATTCACAACATTGCACTTGAGGGTAATAAACAGTGGTACAGAGAGGTTGGACAATTACGAGTGGAAGACCTTCATTTATATTGCAGGTCTGATCGCTTACAATTACCATCAAACTTTTCTTGACCAATTATTCACTCAGACACCTGCATCATCATCAAAATGATTGTTTATTTTTTATTTACCACCAAAATACGCGTGTTCCGTTCCTCAAGAAAACAAATTGTCGCATTTCTGTACCTACGTAAATTGAGAAACGACAAACTTCAACACCTTTACAAAATATTCTGTTGCTCTCTCATCAAATCCTGATTATGTACGACTCAAGGGGAACAGCAAAAGAAAATAACATCTATAAATAACACTTTTTGGCAAATCTCCCCAAATCTTTGCGATTATAAAACTGAAATCTAAATCAATCCTTGAACAGCATACCAGAACACCCAAAACTAATAAGACAGCAGAGAGTGAAGAGAGGTGGTGCGAAACAGGCTGGCTTATTCGAATTCAAAATCCTGTCCTAACTGAACCATGAACTCATTGAGAGAGAGTATCGAGAGATGCAGGGTGACGTTGACGTCTTTTAGTCTTTGCTCCAATAAAAAAAGTCACCAGGCATGCATTGAAAGACCAAATGGCGTTTTCTTGTAAAAAAAAAAGTCAAACCTAATGAAAACAAATCTATCTGATTGAATCTCCAACCTGATCTTTCTTTACTTTTTCTTGTATTAGAGTCTAATTCTCAATACCCAATGCATTTTTGGCACGAATTAACATTTCTTGAGGAGAAGATACTCGTAAAATTCGTTATATAAACTCTGGACTCAACCTTCAAGATGAGGATATGAGGCAGAATGAATCATTGAACTGGCTGGGTTACCAATCAAGGTCCACCAACAAACCAACCAAGTCATTGTCAAACTAGTCTAAAAACCTGACATTTAACTCCAACTGGAAATGCCTTTTAATACCAACCAGCTACATACATACGCCACAGAAATGACAACGTGAGACTGAACAAGCATGTGTATGGTAACATGAAGACGAGCTGCATATCATTTTCGAGCGGTTTTCGAACGAACAAGCCTGTGACAAGCTGTCGTAAATCTATTTTAGACCACGGAAGGCAAAAAATACCTACCAAATCTAACCGAAGTTCACGTCGCAGGTAACTTCCCTGCCAATTTATTTGCAACATGCAAACAAAAACTCCTCTAATTTTGCGAACTATCGGATTTTCAAAATCTATTAATCAATAAGGCAAGACTACCTGTAATTAGGTACCATGATTATTTATGGTTAAGCTAATTTGTGTGCTATAAATATTCATCTTATAAACTAACTTGTTTGCATGTTAATTGGTCTTCTTGTCTGTGCTTAAAATTATTGTTTCTCTTGCAAGAGTCAAATTGAAGGTTGTCTCGTCTCACTAAAAGACGCAAAGTTACCATTGCAGTTCAAGACTTAAAATTAACCCAACAAGGCACTCGCATCGTATTACGCAAAGTCCAGCGGATCTACATATATAGTTTCCTCAATCACAGAGACGTAACAATTTACACGAGACGCACATCAGAATAACACAACTACTATTTTTACCCATCAAAAAATTGACAGCTATTGATAACTTTTTTTGGACGCAAGATTGACCTCATACGTAATACCACATCACCTCATAAATCTTGATAAATCGAGACATCAAGTCACCTTAAATCTGACCAAACGAGCAAAAGTCCATGGAACAACCCAAAGTCAAATGATTTCTTGTAAGCATATACAAAATCAAAAGAATGACTATTTCCATATTTGCGACTCGTATCATCAAGTTTTTAGTAGAAGCATGAAGATTCAGGAGGAAGTTGACACCAAAATATTAACCTGATCAATTAATAGGAGAGTAAACAACCATTATAAAAATCAATAGTATGACATTACACTATATTTTAGCATCATTTGTCCCTCTTCTCGTATCCTCTTCCTATTTACCACAATTACAAATCACGACTCATTGTACGGTCTGCTCAAAATATTTGCGCCATATGTATGCGACAAAAACCAGAATGCGCAGTAGTGACAACTCCCTACATACTTCTTGTAAAAAAACAAGACAACTGCCAACAAAATGCTTTTCGTACCTCCCCGACAACAATGACCTCAGATGTTTCAACATTTAACTGGAAGTAGTTTCATTTCATTAACAAGTTCGCTAAAATGTCGAGGTGTAGGCATTTGTATGTATATGAGTCCAATTTCTTAATGCGTGCGGTGACTAAATAAGGGCTCGGAAGTCGTTCAAAAAAACAACAACGTAATTAAAATTTTATATGCAGTGTGATGTTGACCTGACCTCAATAACTATTTTAATTCATCGCTACATACATACTTATTCATAAACTGTGCTCAAGAAGAGATGAATCAATAGTCCATTCATAATCTCTCAGGCCATGGATACTCGCTATTTATGCACAGATTTGGTTTATGAGTGTCATGGAGGACTCAGATCTTCCTAAGTGACAAAAACTAAACCTGATAACCCAAGAAGACACCATTTTTTGCAGTGGGAGCGAGTTATGATGCATTGCATTTCACAAGTGGTTCAAATATGCACATATGTAAATACATACAGATATCCAATGCCATTCATTACGTAGGATGTCAAATAACAGTTTGTAAACTTACCATAGCTTGTTCGATCTTGTTATCAATTGCCACTGTGTTGGTACCGGAAGCACTGTAAATTTAAAAACAAAGTATACATTTAGTAAATATTATGAGAAACAGTGCCAATAATAAGGTATGTTGAAGCACGAGTGAATATAAAGCTATTTGAGCACTAAAGTTGATCCCACATTCCGCTGAGTGCGCAAGCACACAAATGTACATATGAAAATTCAAATGTATCAAAGTTACAATTAATCTGCAGATTTTGGTTAGTTATTACGTAGTGTACATATGTAACATTCTTAGCCACAACAGACCATCGTGATTCATTCCTTATGTAACAGAATTAATAGTCTCAACATTTATATAACAGTCATCATAACGAAAGATACAATTATTAGTCATTAGTTAAATCCAGCAGGAATTTTCCTGGTTTGCGTGAAAACCAATTTTTTAAGCTTTATTAGACTGGACGTCAGACGAATTAATAAATATGCAAAACGCTGACTTATATTTATTTACTTCTTGCCACTTGCCCTGAAGACTATAACAGATCTGGTTCAAAAACTACGTCAGCACGCAATAAATCATCAAATAACAAGAAGGTAACAATCAGTCTCAATATGAAAAAGTTTGATTCGTGTTGCGGAATTTAATTATGGTTTTACTCAAATAATAAAACCCACGTTATAATGGGAATCCGGGCTTTCGTGAGTCAATTGTTTTTACCTCACAATACAACGAGTGATTAAATTAAGCGGTTTCACCAGCTCGGCTTGCAAGCAGAAAAATTGCAAGAGATGTAGACTAAACTCAATTCAGTGTGTAATATATACAAGAAAATATTGATGATCAAATGCTAATCTGTTTGAAACGAGTCCTTCATCAATCAATTATTATTCCATACTAAATTCATCCTGTCGGAACCTTTCAACTTGTCTTAAAAAGCTAAATCTTTCCAGCATAATCCAGATAATTCCACTGTATAGAATACTTTCCCCGATTGCCTGAATTTTATATACACACACACTCACACACTGGATGATCATCATTTTATTCCCTGTGATACACACAACATTTGCATAGAGGTTTATGATTTCATACGCAACTTATTTATGCACTCAAACGTTCTGTTTGCTCATGGTTCAATTGTCGTGTGTAGTCTAATCTAATCTAAAAACCTAAGCCAACTCGCGTCACTGCAAAGTCAACAATTCATCATCAAGATGAATATTTGCATTCAATGATGCAATTGCTTATTCTTTAACCAAGGATTAGGAGAATCGGTGAATTTCAACTTGGAGCATGACTTCACCCGTTTGAAAAAGGAGCAAGCAATATACCGATACCATGAACATAATGGCTGAGAAATCGAGCACACAAAAATTATACGAGCCATTGTACAAATGGAGTATAAATTATTGGTAAAAACAAGGTCATAAAAAGTATTATTCTCAAATAATTGGTCGGTTCGGCTTGAAAAATTGCACGGCGATGATAGCGCCATATCGATCATTGCTTGTACCCAAGTACCCAGATAACTAGTCCCATAATCATAATAGTAAAGTTTTGTGTTGATTGTTGATCACATATAATCCTTTACTGATTATGTTAGAGAAAAACAAACCACTTAATTACTTTATCTCTTTGTGATCATCACATAACCCACCCACCAAAGCGACCAATCAGAAAGCGAGGTGAGGAATTTTTAGTATGTGCAAGTTGGGTGTGTTATTTACATACAAAAGCGTTAAGAGGGGAGATTTAGATTTAGTGAGTGAAAGAGAGGAGAACTTACCCAATGAAATTTTTGATAAAGCAGTAAATGTATGAAATTAGAGTGTTCTGGTCAAGCAGGTGGTCCTTATGAACATTAACGAGGAGGTCGGTCGGATCTGGACTGATGCGACCCCCACCCCCAGCCTCTGGAGGGATTTGAATCTGGCGATCTGCTGTCAATGTCGACATTTCTGGATATCTATCTATCTTTATGTTTGGGGTGTAGCTCGTAACAATCATTAATAAGCCGTTGAGAAGTTGGGATGAAGAGACGGAGATGCAATTAATTTTAAAATTGCAAATAGTTCAAACTCGTATTTTTAACGATTCGACTCTAATAGACGCACCAAAGAGTCACTCAGTTGAGATGATAACAGGTACAGAATTGGAGAGAATTATGTATCAAATTCGACGTTAAACAGCACCCAGAAACTTGGATAATCTATACAGGTACAGTAATACAATGGATTTTTAGACTTGACACTCTTTTTGATAGCAGTGATGGTGGATGACGATTCAAGTTTTATAAAATTGTAACTTTGTAGAATTGGAGCAAATTTATGTAGCTAGTCACCTTATACCAGTTTATAATTGATTAAATAGCTGCGGAAGAGACAGCACGCAAAAGTCGCTATAAATTATTTCTCTCTTTCTCAGCACCTTCTTCTTTTCTATGTATCGACAACAGAGTGGTTATCAGGAAGAGTTTACGTTTTCAGTTTGTGGTTTGAAATCTTTGAACTTTAATAAAGAGTCAACCTGAAGAAGAAGAGGATAACAATCCCACAAGAATTTGTACTCGGATTTTGCACAGCTACTAACTAGCTCTAGTAAGCAGTAGTAGTAGTAATAAGAGTCGCAAAGAACAACTTTGAGGATTGACACCTTACAGCGAGTGTTGCCAAGCAAGTGAATGCGGATTGCGACGAGTCGAGTGAACTCAAGTCAAAAACCTAAACGAGAAGCCGAAGCAAGCAATGGCAAACTCGGTTTGGTTCTCTCAGGGATCTCCCAACATTTACCATTGCAAGAGAGCCTAACCCACCAACACCCCTTCTTTCTGCACAAAATTCGCAACCACTACTGCAGCCATGTCACACCATATTACGTGCAGCTAGAGCTATGTATTTTACCTACTCCCTTCACCACTTGGCTAGTTCTATAGATTGCGAAAAGAGAAGACGAGACCATGCAAAGGAAACATGGAATAGTCATACCCGCCGTGCGTGAACTGGTTCTTAAGGATCCACGAAATTCTCGTAGGCATAAAAATGTATCAACAATTCCACATAAAACAACACCACTTAACTTCCGAACCCGTAACGAGAAGGAAAAACTTTGCAAAGACACTAACCAGGATTGTATGCATTGACTAATATTCCGCCGCAGCAGCCTAAATACTTACCTAGCTACCTACCAACTAAACCAGTCATACATATATTTCTCTGCTGCTTTTGTTCACTTGATGGCAAACTGTGTGCCATTTACTTGGGATTCTTAGAAATTACCATCATCATCATCATTCCGGCCAAGGAATAGACGGCAGTGGGCCAGCTTTCACCAGCCGGGCTCGTCCTCAGTCTTGCCAACTTTCTCCCTTCCTTTGTCCTCATATTTCGACGAAAATTTCTACTTGGTCTGACATGCGAGATGGAATATTATTAATGAGAATATAAAAACACCCACATTTTTATCTCTGTAATGACATTTTCGCTCTGACACATGAAAAAATTGCAGTGATTTTTTTACAAAAAAACTAAACAAAAATGCTTTCACTTTCACTAGCACCAACTAAGCAAGCAAGCTAGAAGTGGAATGAAATCCACAAGGAAATGATCGATGAGTATGACCCACTTTTCTGCAACTGTAGATGGAGAAATCTCTCCCGAGCAGAGAGAAAGTGGCAAATACCCAGGCACAACTTTGTCCTTCTTATGGTGAAAGTACTACCTGGACCAAAAGTTTTTGGGGTTGGAGGACTCACTGCTGTCTGTCTGGGACATACATAGCTTTAACACCACAACAAATCATTTCAGGTTCAGTAATTTAGAATGCACAGACGATCTGGTTGGTCTGATCTAATTCCACCATCCTCTGACATTTCCTCTCAATCTCAATCCCGCATAAACTCTGGCTGGAACAACCAAAAGTAGGCTGAGAGAAAGTTCGAATCCTTTCCCCTTGCCAAATTCACAACTATATGGAACGTGTATACAGTTCAAAGCGTTCATAGAAGTCCGGTCGCTGCTTATTATGAATCTGCAATGCTGCATGTTTGGCCTACTTTGCTTTGTAAAAAGGGCACATAAATATTCCAACCCGGTCCAAAATTTGCACAAGAACGAAAAGAGAATATAATATGGAAAGCAAGAGATCTGTCCATTGTGTGTATCTCAAAGCCAAGATACATACATACAAAAGTCGATCTGCTCTATCATCTTGATCGCATCGCTCGCTCAGTTCATCGCTCAGTGAGTAAGTACCCAACTGAATTACAATTTTAATCTCCTCGCATCCATCCATCCTCCAAAAGATCTGATTCGCGGAAGGGATGGCTTGGGTCCAATGGACTTTCAAGGCCACAGTTGATCGATAATAGGAGTTGTTACCAAGTGAATTCCAAATACTCCTCTTGTATGTACTGCGTCAAAAGTCAAATCTACAACGAGCACATACATAATTGGGGAAAGGATGAAGAAGAGAATACTCAAAACAACTTTTACACGCAAAATATGGGAGTCACGTTTGGTGGCGTGATCGCAACGCACTTTCTCCTCGCGGTATATGCAAGTAGTATGTATTGACTGGTTATGTAACGAACGATAATAAATTGGTCTCATATATTTTTCACAATAGATGAATAAACACGCCAAGTAGAATTGTATTGTGTGCTGAATGAAAGTGGGCGCATTTCAATTAAATGATAATTATTTCTATCCCCGTTTCGTAAACGGTTCTCAATAGTTTGCCAACAACAAGCGAATGTTAAGTAAACCAGGTGAAAGGACACACCCACTGTCTGGCTGCCTGGATAATTAATACATGCAATGTAAGATATCCACATGCATGTGTATGTAATCCACATAAATAACAAATTACACAACGGGAAGCATTTTATATTATATGCTATCTCTCATGGAAAATAAATACTGGAGTTGTTGTAAACTGTAAACAAGTACTCGGTACAATTGCGATGCAATAAAATATCATCCACTTCCACGATCTACTTGCCTTTTTGGCGGAATTGAGCGTGGGTTGGATGGAGAGAAAGCAGATGAAAGCACGAAATTC